TCAACTGTCATTGATATCGTCTGTTTCTGCGATATTGGTGCCGTAGTTACCAAATAATGGCGTTTCCATTCTAATATCGACTGCTTCATTCGAAGTCTCTGCGCAGGAAATTCGATAGATAGCATCCACGTTTTCTTTCTGTTCATTGTTCAGAATTTGATGAGGATTGCTTTCAATATGGCGCCTGCAAAACGAAAGAAAATCTTGTAAAACATGAACCACATAAACTCATTTACTCAATATGTGCATTTACGATAATCACGAGTAACGACACATCTCAGAAATGTCTCCTTATTATTGCGAGTAAACGATGTATTGCTATGGCCAAAGATGCATTCTAAAAGCTACGCAAAATGGTAAGAGACAGAAAAATTTCGTTTAAACAAAGAAAAGAGCACTGTACTGTTATGTAATATCAGTCCTCCTCTATGGCAGTGAATGCTGGACAATCTCCTCACAGATGAAGAAGAGACTTGAAGCGACAGAGATCTGATTCAACTGAGGAGTGTCCTTAGAAACAAAGAAAAGAGTGTCGGACGGCTATGTAATATCTAATCTCTTATATGGCAGTGAATGCTGGACAATCTCCTCACAGATGAAGAAGAGACTTGAAGCGACAGAGATGTGGTTCTACTGACGAGTGTCCTTAGAAACAAAGAAAAGAGTGTTGGACGGCTATGTAATATCTAATCTCCTATATGGCAGTGAATGCTGGACAATCTCCTCACAGATGATGAAGAAGAGACTTGAAGAGAAACAAAAGAAAAGATGTGGTCTCCTATATGGCAGTGAATGCTGGACAGATGAAGAAGAGTGTGGTTTAGTCTTTAACAAAGAAAAGAGTGTTGGACGGCTATGTAATATCTAATCTCTTATATGGCAGTGAATGCTGGACAATCTCCCCACAGATGAAGAAGAGACTTGAAGCAGCAGAAACAAAGAAAAAAGTACTGAGCTCTTACGTAATATCAGTCCTCTTATATGACAATAAATGCTGGACAATCTCCTTACAGATGAAGACGAGACTTGAAGCAACAGAAACAAGAAAAGGAGTACTAAACTGTTACGTGATGTCTGTCCCTCTGCATGGCAGTGAATGCTGGACAATCTCCTCACAGACGAAGAAGTGACATGAAGCAACAGAATTGTGTTTCTACAGGAGGATGCTGAGAATGCCATGGTACGAATATGTGAATAAATAACGAATTTTTAGAGAAAATAGAAACAAAAATGACGCCCTTACGTAATATCAGGAAGGAAGAGACAGGTGAAATGCTAAAATCTGAAAAAAATATCTAGTTCCTATTATTTACATTATTTACATTTTTCGAACTGTTGTCCTTATCACATTCACGACTTTTCGACGGTTGTACGCTCCGACCTTCTTCAGGTGATTGGAATTTCGAACCAAACCCTTTATTTTCTCCACCGGGATAGATTGTTCAGGTTCCACGTTCCGTGCCGGATATCTCCCCTGAAGAAGGCCGGAGCATTCAGAAAACGTTGTGAATATGGCAACAAAAATGAGGACAACAGTCCGAATAATGTAAACAGTGTAAATAATTACTATAGCCTATCTAAGAAATATAGACAGATAGTCCCCATTATTGTATAATTTTTTTTATCACTTTTTTTTCTTTCACGCGATAAAAATAGTTTGACACCCGCTAGAAGGCCACCTTGCTCTTCTTTCTGATTGAATGAATCTGAATATATAATTTTCCTTACTTATTAGCAACAATAAGCTAAGCCTTTGCCAAAGGCAAACCAGATATCTTAACCCAGATATGTTAAGAGAAAGAAAAATTTTGTTAGAAACAAAGTGTACTGAACTGTTGCGTGATATATGTCCTCTTTCATAGCAGCGAATGCTGGAGAATCTTTTCAAAGATGAAAACAAACTTGAAGCAACAGATATGTGGTTCTAAAGAAAGATGCCAAGGATAACATGGACACAACATGTGAACAACGAAGTCGTTTTCGAGAAAATGGAAACAAAAAGGAAACTTATACTTAACATCAAGAAGTGCCAGTTGAAATTTCTGGTTCACGTAATAAGAAAGAAGGGCTTGGAAAATCTGATACTCACAGGGAGATATTGAGGGAAAAAAGGACAAAAGAAAGCAACGCGAAGCATACTTGATGAGATTAAATAAATGGATGGTAGAACAAGGTTTGGGAGAAAAACATATTAAGAGCTACAAGGGATAGGAAGATTTGGAGGGCCATGATTTCCTACGTTCTGAAGGGACACGGCACACAAACAAAGAAGAAACGATGAATACAGCATAAACGACAAAGTTTCTGACCTGCATTTAACTAGATACCTCCAGAAAAGTGATACCTAAGTTTTAAAAGGAATTTTTAAAAATGAAAAAATCTTTCTTGAAGCTATGATTTTGGTTTAGTCTCAAGCTAATAGATTAAATTCAATATTTCCAATAAATAAAATATTTTATATTTCAAACCGAATTCAACTTGATTGGAATCATTTTTTCTGAATATCAATAAAATCTATAAAATTGATCATATTAACAAACCTGTCAACGCAACAAATGTCTCTTTATTAAAAAGTTTTTTTCAAAAAATAAAATATACTTTTCCGAAAAGTTATTTGATAAAAATTCGCTGATTTAAAGTTTAATGTATTTAAATTGGAGCAAATTTTACTTTCTTTTAATTTAAAATTTCGCAGAAAAGCATATTTTTTTAATATGGCGTGGGTATTTCTATGAGGTGTTAACAGATCTATAGACAGCCTGATGTTTGGGAAATTTTAGTAAGGGGTACATAACTGAATAAATTACTTGACAAATACAACGTGAACGCCTTTTTCATATAATTTTTTAATTACGCAGTAATCTTAAATTAAGCAAATGTTCTAAACAATCTAATATTTTATGTAATTTTAGGCGATTTGGCGATATAGCCTTACTTACTAAGACCCTTGTTGAGGACATTTAGTAAATTTAAAAACAATTTTAAATTTACTATAGTAAACGGTCTTATTTTCTTATAATGCTGTGTATATATTTATGTCGTGTATGGTGGTGTATATATTTACAAAAAGTGACACATTTATACACAAATTAAATTCAAATTACATAAAATAAATCCATCTTCTTTTTTATAATACTGATTGAATTGTAGTGAGCTTTTCCATTTATGACGAGTAAATACAGTTTTAACTTAAGAACAATATCACTTGACCAATACAAATTAGCATTGAGTTCTAACTTTTTTGCTGCAACGGGGGTGAGCGTGATTCCTCTTTAATTAATGCCAATCCTAGATTTCCTTTCTTTGGGAAGAGAAATATGCAGCCTTCTGACCATCTTTCTGTCTTCTCCATTATATATTGCTTTACAGAGTAAGAGTTGGAGATAGTTATAATCCTGGGCTCTTCAAACCTCCAGAGTAATGTTATCAAATCTCAATATCAGTCATTGAACAAACCCTGACTGTTCGGTGGATGATTGATGGCGTCAGGGCAAAGAATCTACAGACCGCCTTACTTTTTGTACATTTCTCTAAAGCCTTCTATTATGTACATTGAAAGAAAATGGAGAAGAACCTTTTATCATATGGCATCCCCTCTGAGACAGTAACTGCCATAATGTTGCTATACAAAAATACCAAATCTTTGATTAGATCCCCAGAGGAAAATACTAGCTTCTTCGACATCAAAGCAAAGGTCCTTCAGGGTGACACTCTTGTACCGTTTCTCTTCGTCGTCACCTTTGACTACGTATTGTGAACTTCAATCGACAAACTTTATCACTAAAACTCTCAAGTCGATATCCTGCAAAAACATTGACAGATATTGACTATGCAAATGAGCTCGCTATCATTGCAGGCACCATTACGAAGAAAAAAATAAATTCAAGTTACATAGAATCAATTCAATATCTTTTTTACAATCAGTCAATTATGTGTCATGCATGATACACTCTTAGGCGATCATGTATTTTTCGATACATGACTGACGAGGCAGATTTTTTCTTTCTGTGGTTGCCATCCAAGGCTATAGAACCCGTCCTGCTATTTACCCATTTTTGACAGGAACATTGGGATAAAAGGATTTGAAATTTCAATTAGCCAAGAGTTTATCTGTTAGTGTTTTGACCATCGATCTTTTCCAATAACATTTCTTTCATATGGTAAGAGGCATTTTTTTTTGTTTTAGGTTTTCTTATGGTGACAATTCTACTTGCTTTGTCCGAACTGGTGATTGAAATCTACTTTATTTTGGCTACATCTTCTAATACATTAATACAGTAAGAGAAAAGGTACACGGTTGTCACCCTGAAGGAAGTCCTGATTTAAGATCAAGGAAGGTAGTGTCTCCGTTTGGACATCAAAACAAAGATTTGCTATGTAGGATTTACTTTATCGCCAAGATTCTCAAGTCGATATCCTTCAAAAACTATGCAAATGACTTCGCTTATCAATGTAGGCACCATTACGAAGAAAAAATAAGAAGAAAAAGAATGTAAAAGATTGACTTACTTTTTCAAAATGAAAGCTCCAATAATGGCTCCTCCAAGAAGCAAGAACGATACAATGCAAATCGCAGCCACCGTTGCAGATGATGAAATGGAACCGACTAAAAGTAAAAGTGAAAATGTATTCTTATTTGACTTCAACAAAATGAAAGCATCTTTCTGGATGATTCAGGCCTTTTCTTGTTCTTCCTGGCTAAATATAAACTTAGAACATTGGACCTGTCCTATTATTTAGGGTAATAAGTATGATGCCAGGTTGACTTTATTGCTACTACGAAAACAACATCAGTGGATTAAACAGATATTATATGTCATCTATGATTAATAAAAGAAATCAATCTCAATATGTATTTCAAAGCGAGAACTTCTTAAGAGGACGAGACAAAAAAAAGTTTGTTGTTTTAACCTAGAAAAGGTTTACTGAATGAGGAATAACCAAAACGGAGGTTGGAAATGAAATGGTAATCTTTATAACATCAACAAAATACAATACTCGCCAGCGGCGTGAAGTAGGTAAACCACTGCTAATGGTGGACTACTTAGACAGCATATTACCCCCACTTACACTAGTGTCCAACGTGTTTATGAGGATTGATGGTTATAGATACGGTATATAACAGTCGTGGAGACTATATTTCTGTATAAACTGATTTAGTATATAAACACGTGGAACGAAAAGTAAAAAAAAAAATAAACATTGCGTTTATATATTTATTACGGTTTATCAACCCATTGCAGGTTATTTTAAAACCAGAAAATTTTTTTGTACATTGTAAGAATTTTTGGAGATAGTAATGATTTACTTATACAATTCCTACTAATTAACCCATAGCTGGGGGAGAACAGGGGGATCATACATTTCCGAAGGTTATTTTCGTCTAAAATTAATATAACGAACCCGAATTGAATTGGAACTCGGCTCTCCGATTTCCAATTCGTAGCTCTTATTCAGGACACCACCCGCAGTATCCCCAAGCGCGGTCATCCATCAACTTGATATGGTCGTAAGTCGATGAACATTGAAATCAGTGTTTGTTTCAGGTAAATTGTTGGTACATCTATATAAATAAAGCGCAGTGTTTGTCTGTCCGTTCGTTTTTCAATCTTGGCAAATCATAAACAACCTGAATTAACAATTACTAACAACTGTAGGTTCACGCGATTAAAAAATAAATAAATAACTCATTTAAAGTTAAATTTAAATATTGAACAGAGTGAAAAGTTTAAAAAAAAATTCTCTTTTAAAGGTTTAAATTTAATTTCGCTTTTCGTCGTCATAAAGAATTGTGATTTTTAAAAGAAAATAAAAACCTGAGGCGCAAGAAATGAAACTAAAAACCTGATTGTGTATACGAAGAAAGATTATGCCGAATTAAGGTGTCAAATAAAAATAAAATAATTTTAATATTTCTAAATTCTTTTAGCTTTTACGTACATAGGATGTTAATGGTAAAATACCGAAGTCACAAAAGCCGTCTATTAGCGACTTCTAGGATAGTGTGTAATATGTAAAAGTTAAATTCAATTCAGAATTATACGGTCTCAGCGTAGGTGTAATTGAAATGGTTCGTGAATGGGTAAGTGACTCATGCCAACATTCGCAAATAAGTTAGCAAGATAGAAGGGAAGAAAAAATATGGTCTCGATTGAAAAAAGCTTTCTTAGAACTTTTCAGGAAAGATTTTATGCATTCTACATGTATACATCCCTCTTTTCGTCTCCCCAGCTATGGGGTAAATAGTAGGATTTGTATCAAGAAAAATCACTGTCATCTCCCCAAAAATTCTTTATGCAATATTCACTCTCAAAAAAGATTTAGTCTTACAATACAAAAAAATGTTTCAGCTTTAAAATAACTCACGAAGGGTTGATAAGCCGTAAAAAACAATTAAATCAACTCCAGTATTAATACAAAAATATATATTTTTAATTTCTTAGACACGATGTCCCAAATAAGAATCTTTAGGCTAAAGAATATATTTATGAAAGACTACATTATTATAAAAATGCTTCCTAACAAGTAGTTCTTAACGGCCAATCATCCGAGGTCATAGAGTTCAAAGCAGGCGTCCCCCAGGGACCACTTCTCGGACCAACCCTATTTCTAATTTCCATTGGCAGCTTATTTCTCTTCCGATCTAACACTAACTTTGCAGTGGCTGGTTACTGTTGTGGATTCCGGGATGAAATCCGGTCTCAAATGAATGACAAACGCAGGAATGAAATATAACAAATAAATGTATTGACGTAATAATACAATTGGTAATACGGTTAGTAGATCCAGAAATGCGGTTAGTAGCAATAATAATATATATACAGTCTGGAAAAATTCAGTATCGAAGTATGACTTCCTTCTGCGTCTACGTGCTCGCAACTGTGACTCCTACAAAGCGGTCACGAAATTCTGAATAAAATCGTCTCTTTCTATTTTTTTTTCTTGGTATTCTGCGACAGCAGTACAAGTACATACTAGGCGATTCCACTTGTATGAAAAGGGGTGGACCCCTTAACAGTTACATTCAATGCCTCGAAAATCAAATTAGTTACACCACCAGTCATGATAAACGAATGTCCCTTCGAGGAGGCACCGGGCCTTGGGGGAATATTAGGCGTCAAACTCACACATGACCGCAAATAGAACTCGTACATACGATCCGGTACTAAAAGATTCAGGTAAAATTGTCGCTCCCTGTACCGATCTAGTTGGTACCTGACTTCTCATGCTATCGTCTACCTTTATAATAGCCAGATCAGGCCGAAAATGAGGTACTGCTGGTATATTTGATTGATTGATTGATTCGTTTTCTTTGGTTTATCAACCCTTTTCAGGTTATTTAAAGACAGAAAATATTTTTAGATTCTAAGAATATATTTTGACGATAATAATGCTTTACAAGTGTTACTAATTTCTTCTTTAAATTTCTTTTACTTAATCAGTAGATTGATTGATTGATTCGTTTTACGGTTTATCAACCCTTTGCAGATTATTTAAAGCCACAAAATATTTTTAGATTCTAAGAATATATTTTGACGATAATAATCTTTAAGTGTTATAATTTTTCTTTAAATTTTTTTTTGCTTAATCAGTAGATTGATTGATTGATTCGTTTTACGGTTTATCAACCCTTTGCAGGTTATTTAAAATATAAAAATATTTTTTAGATTCTAAGAATATATTTTGACGATAATAATGCTTTACAAGTGTTACTAATTTCTTCTTTAAATTTCTTTTTGCTTAATCAGTAGATTGATTGATTGATTCGTTTTCTACGGTTTATCAACCCTTTCAGGTTATTTAAAGCCATAAAATATTTTTAGATTCTAAGAATATATTTTGACGATAATAATATTTTTACAAGTGTTACTAATTTCTTCTTTAAATTTCTTTTTGCTTAATCAGTAGATTGATTGATTGATTCGTTTTCTACGGTTTATCAGGTTATTTAAAACCCATTGCAGGTTATTTAAAGCCATAAAATATTTTTAGATTCTAAGAATATATTTTGACGATAATAATGCTTTTTACAAGTGTTACTAATTTCTTCTTTAAATTTCTTTTTTGCTTAATCAGTAGATTGATTGATTGATTCGTTTTCTACGGTTTATCAACCCTTTGCAGGTTATTTAAAGCCAGAAAATATTTTAGATTCTAAGAATATATTTTGACGATAATAATGTTTTACAAGTGTTACTAATTTCTTCTTTAAATTTCTTTTGCTTAATCAGTAGATTGATTGATTGATTCGTTTTGTACGGTTTATCAACCCTTTTCAGGTTATTTAAAGCCATAAAATATTTTTAGATTCTAAGAATATATTTTGACGATAATAATGCTTTACAAGTGTTACTAATTTCTTCTTTAAATTTCTTTTGCTTAATCAGTAGATTGATTGATTGATTCGTTTTTACGGTTTTATCAACCCTTTTCAGGTTATTTAAAGCCAGAAAATATTTTAGATTCTAAGAATATATTTTGACGATAATAATGCTTTACAAGTGTTACTAATTTCTTCTTTAAATTTCTTTTGCTTAATCAGTAGATTGATTGATTGATTCGTTTTCTACGGTTTATCAACCCTTTGCAGGTTATTTAAAGCCAGAAAATATTTTTAGATTCTAAGAATATATTTTGACGATAATAATGCTTTACAAGTGTTACTAATTTCTTCTTTAAATTTCTTTTGCTTAATCAGTAGATTGATTGATTGATTCGTTTTCTACGGTTTATCAACCCTTTTCAGGTTATTTAAAGCCAGAAAATATTTTTAGATTCTATGAATATATTTTGACGATAATAATGCTTTACAAGTGTTACTAATTTCTTCTTTAAATTTCTTTTGCTTAATCAGTAGATTGATTGATTGATTCGTTTTCTACGGTTTATCAACCCTTTGCAGGTTATTTAAAGCTAGAAAATATTTTTAGATTCTAAGAATATATTTTGACGATAATAATGCTTTACAAGTGTTACTAATTTCTTCTTTAAATTTCTTTTGCTTAATCAGTAGATTGATTGATTGATTCGTTTTCTACGGTCTATCAACCCTTTTCAGGTTATTTAAAGCCATAAAATATTTTTAGATTCTAAGAATATATTTTGACGATAATAATGCTTTACAAGTGTTACTAATTTCTTCTTTAAATTTCTTTTGCTTAATCAGTAGATTGATTGATTGATTCGTTTTCTACGGTTTATCAACCCTTTTCAGGTTATTTAAAGCCAGAAAATATTTTTAGATTCTAAGAATATATTTTGACGATAATAATGTTTTTACAAGTGTTACTAATTTCTTTTTAAATTTCTTTTGCTTAATCAGTAGATTGATTGATTGATTCGTTTTCTACGGTTTATCAACCCTTTTCAGGTCATTTAAAGCCAGAAAATATTTTTAGATTCTAAGAATATATTTTGACGATAATAATGCTTTACAAGTGTTACTAATTTCTTCTTTAAATTTCTTTTGCTTAATCAGTAGATTGATTGATTGATTCGTTTTCTACGGTTTATCAACCCTTTTCAGGTTTTTTAAAGCCATAAAATATTTTTAGATTCTAAGAATATATTTTGACGATAATAATGCAGAAAAATATTTTTACAAGTGTTACTAATTTCTTCTTTAAATTTCTTTTGCTTAATCAGTAGATTGATTGATTGATTCGTTTTCTACGGTTTATCAACCCTTTTCAGGTTATTTAAAGCCAGAAAATATTTTTAGATTCTAAGAATATATTTTGACGATAATAATGCTTTACAAGTGTTACTAATTCTTTAAATTTCTTTTTGCTTAATCAGTAGATTGATTGATTGATTCGTTTTCTACGGTTTATCAACCCTTTTGCAGGTTATTTAAAGCCAGAAAATATTTTTAGATTCTAAGAATATATTTTGACGATAATAATGTTTTTACAAGTGTTACTAATTTCTGTTTTCTTTAAATTTCTTTTACTTAATCAGTAGATTGATTGATTGCTTTTCGTTTTAAAACCCTTTGCAGGTTATTTAAAGCCATAAAATATTTTAGATTCTAAGAATATATTTTGACGATAATAATGCTTTTCAAGTGTTACTAATTTCTTCTTTAAATTTCTTTTGCTTAATCAGTAGATTGATTGATTGATTCGTTTTCTACGGTTTATCAACCCTTTGCAGGTTTTTTAAAGCCATAAAATATTTTTAGATTCTAAGAATATATTTTGACGATAATAATGCTTTACAAGTGTTACTAATTTCTTTTTTAAATTTCTTTTGCTTAATCAGTAGATTGATTGATTGATTCGTTTTCTACGGTTTATCAACCCTTTGCAGGTTATTTAAAGCCAGAAAATATTTTTAGATTCTAAGAATATATTTTGACGATAATAATGCTTTACAAGTGTTACTAATTTCTTCTTTAAATTTCTTTTGCTTAATCAGTAGATTGATTGATTGATTCGTTTTGTACGGTTTATCAACCCTTTTCAGGTCATTTAAAGCCAGAAAATATTTTTAGATTCTAAGAATATATTTTGGCGATAATAATGCTTTACAAGTGTTACTAATTTCTTCTTTAAATTTCTTTTGCTTAATCAGTAGATTGATTGATTGATTCGTTTTCTACGGTTTATCAACCCTTTTCAGGTTTTTTAAAGCCATAAAATATTTTTAGATTCTAAGAATATATTTTGACGATAATAATGCTTTACAAGTGTTACTAATTTCTTCTTTAAATTTCTTTTGCTTAATCAGTAGATTGATTGATTGATTCGTTTTCTACGGTTTATCAACCCTTTGCAGGTTATTTAAAGCCAGAAAATATTTTTAGATGCTAAGAATATATTTTGACGATAATAATGCTTTACAAGTGTTACTAATTTCTTCTTTAAATTTCTTTTACTTAATCAGTAGATTGATTGATTGATTCGTTTTCTACGGTTTATCAACCCTTTTCAGGTCATTTAAAGCCAGAAAATATTTTTAGATTCTAAGAATATATTTTGGCGATAATAATGCTTTACAAGTGTTACTAATTTCTTCTTTAAATTTCTTTTGCTTAATCAGTAGATTGATTGATTGATTCGTTTTCTACGGTTTATCAACCCTTTGCAGGTTATTTAAAGCCATAAAATTATTTTTTAGATTGTAATTTTTTTTTTAATGGTTTAGTGAGAAATCTTCAAATTAACCCATAGCTAAAGTAGGGAAGAAGTGATGGATTCATATCTTTCCCAAGTGTATTTGCGCGCAAGTAAATATAACGAACCCGACCGTAATTAGAACTTGGCCCTCCGATTATCCATTACACCACTCACATAATTAAGCTTATATTACCTGATATTCCCAACCGGTTACCCATCTTAGTACTGAACAAGCTCAACGTTGCTTGACTTCGATGATCGTACAGGAACCGGTGTTTCAACATGATATGTCCGTAAGCCATAACAACCACACATCCCAGTACCTGGTATTCCCAAGCGGTCACCCATCTAGGTACTGACCGGGCGTGACGTTGCTTGATTTTAGTGATCGTACTGGAACCGATGTTTCAATGTGATATGGCCTTGAGTCACAACGTTGTTAAAGATGAGCGGTTAATATTGGACTGAGAAAATTGTTGATTGCAACCTTGGCGTAATGTCGCCACAACGATGTGCTTTTAGTTAGCGCCAATCCACAATGTTCAAAGATGGATGGTCAAAGACCATCACGCCTCACTCGCTCAGTGCCATTTTTAATTATTGATCTTAGAAGGCGGTTGAACGCAGCTGACAGCTTAGATATTTCTAAACAAGTTTGGCGCCATGGAAGACATGCATATGAAGGTCTTGATCTGATGAGGCCATTTAAGAACATGACTCGAGTTATTGTGCTAATATTTTCGTCTTGTAGCAACTTGCGGTGTTGGGCAAAACTACCCCTAGCACAACCTATTCTATTTTAAATTTCCTTATTTCCATCTCCTATACTGAATTTATCCATAGGCCGATGTATTTGAATTGTTTAGTATTTATTTCCACATCCTGAATGTTTATAATGGATTAAAAATAGACGCCATCACTTCTTTCATTCGAATTCCAAATCATAGTTTCTGTTTGGGAAATGTTCGAGTCTGATTTCTTCCACGCCTAGTAACCTCTTGTATCTTAGTGCCTTTACATCTTCTCAGAGGTAAACTCGATAAAAAGAAAGATTCAAGCAAGTATAAGCCACCCCCTTGATAAAGGATGTTTTCATTTTTATGCTAGATTCATGATAAGTGCCATCACTGCTTTCATTCCAATTCCAAATCATAGATTCTTTTTGGGAAAGGTTTATTTTGAGTCCTATTCTTCGAACTCTTGTTAGAGAATGTTGGGGTTTTTGTTCAAGAGCAGACACTCTACGACCACTTATGGTCATGAGACAGATGATGATGATGATGATGATGATGATGGTGGTGGTGGTGTTGTTGGTTGTGGTCGTTGGTGTTAGTTGGTGATGAGGGGGTGCATTTAAATCAGGAATTCTTTAATGTTTAAGAAACTATATATGCTCCAAGAACGGTCGCCCTAGTTAAGATACCTCAAGCTACATTCGCTCGGAGACATTTTTAACCATTTATCTAAGAAAGCAGTTGAACACAGCTAAGAGTTTTGATATTGCTGAACAGGTTTGACGTCATACATGACATCCGTATAAAAGTTTCGATCTGATGAGGCTAATTAAGAACATGACTCGGGTTTCCAGGTTGATGTTTTGGTTTTGTAGCAAGTGGTGGTATTGGGCGAAACTAACACTGGCGCAACATATTCTGTTTCAATTTCCTTTTTTCTTATACAAAATTTGTTTTAACTGATCAATACGCCGACCTATTTGAAATGCTGAGTACAATATGTTAAAAAGTAACAAAACAAGTAACATCTATAGTTTTCCCGATCCTGATAATGGCCTGAAGTATGGTCGAAAAATCTAGATCTCAAATAATATTGATAGTTCTTGTAATTTCATATGGTATCCTATTGTATGTATGCAAAATATTAGAAACATCTTTGCCTTCGATCTCTAGTAAGACTTTATTTAAATTGTTGGCAATGTTTAAACTTCGTGCCCAGAAACAGTGGGAGGCACAGTGGCGTAATGGATAGAGGCTCGGATTAAGGAATCGGAGAACCACGTTCGAATTCCAGTCGAATCCACTCATATTAAACTGCAACAATTATTTGATATTTGCAAGAATTTCCAAAACAAATTGTTTTTTAACGTAAAAATGAAGCCAAATTTCCCATACTAAACTTCGGCTAACCCGCTGAGGCAAGAAACACATTTTTTAACAAATATTTCGAACGTGTTAGAAAGGAATAAAAAATATAATGAATAACCAAAAATACTTTCGTCTTTCTTCTTAATATTGATATTTCGAGGATAAAAAATTATTTTTTTTTACAAGATTTGGGTCCTTATTCATCATGCTATGATATTTTTATCGGATTTTTAGCGGTACTTAGTAAAAAGTGTAAAGACTAATACCAGAGTCAAGGGAATAAAAATCAAATCATAAAAAGTTAGTTTTTATTATACCTGAAGCCAAAGAACGAGCTGTAGAGATTGTGTGGGTTCTGAAAAGGGCAGACGTTGGGGTAGTTTCATTAGCTGAAAAAGGAAACGTTAGAGAAAAATCTGTCAATTTTTTTGTACAGTCATTTATTTTGATTTTCGAATCGTTTATTCAATTCGAAATATCAAGCGTCGTAATTATTAAACACTTTATTCCCTCTAATGATTACATATATAAAGGATAGGATTTATTAAGCAAATACGTAAACACTTTCATTCCCTCTAATGATTACATATATAAAGGATAGAATTTATTAAACAAATACATCAATACGTTCATTCCCTCTAATGATTACATATAAAACGGATAGGATTTATTAAACAAATACGTAAACACTTTCATTCCCTCTAATGATTACATATATAAAGGATAGAATTTATTAAACAAATACGTAAACACTTTCATTCCCTCTAATGATTACATATACAAAGGATAGAATTTATTAAACAAATACATCAATACGTTCATTCCCTCTAATGATTACATATAAAACGGATAGGATTTATTAAACAAATACGTAAACACTTTCATTCCCTCTAATGATTACATATATAAAGGATAGGATTTATTAAACAAATACGTCAACACTTTCATTCCTCTAATGATTACATATATAAAGGATAGGATTTATTAAACAAATACATCAATACGTTCATTCCTCTAATGATTACATATAAAACGGATAGGATTTATTAAACAAATACGTAAACTCTTTCATTCCCTCTAATGATTACATATATAAAGGATAGGATTTATTAAGCAAATACGTAAACACTTTCATTCCCTCTAATGATTACATATACAAAGGATAGAATTTATTAAACAAATACATCAATACGTTCATTCCCTCTCATGATTACATATAAAACGGATAGGATTTATTAAACAAATACGTCAACACTTTCATTCCCTCTAATGATTACATATATAAATGATAGGATTTATTAAGCAAATACGTAAACACTTTCATTCCCTCTAATGATTACATATACAAAGGATAGAATTTATTAAACAAATACATCAATACGTTCATTCCCTCTAATGATTACATATAAAACGGATAGGATTTATTAAACAAATACGTAAACACTTTCATTCTCTCTAATGATTACATATATAAAGGATAGGATTTATTAAACAAATACGTCAACACTTTCATTCCCTCTAATGATTACATATATAACGGATAGGATTTATTAAACAAATACCTCAACACTTTAATTCCCTCTAATGATTACATTACAGTGCGTAGTGGAAATATCTTATGATGGACAGGTTTTTATAATGTGAAACCCTATATATCATCACTTTCTATTTGATAAATAAGCTGAGTTGCCTTGTCATGATTATAAGTCTGAAAACAAGAATTTATGTTTTGATATTACACACAAAACTACCCCGGATACGGAAAGGTTTAAACTTTTGCTTCGATGACAGTTCTTCCGTAAATAATCTAAAAAAATTGCTTAGGCATTTACTTACTTGTTTCAAAATTCTGATTGGTGATTTTAACACTACTTGAAAATGTTACTGAAGTCACATCAGCTGAAAGAGAAATAGATTAGATTAGACATCCGTCAGTCTTAGATGATGTTTCAGACTGAAACTTCACAATTCTTCAATACACAAGGTCTTCGTAGGTAGATTGGGAACACACACCAATGTACTAGATCTCACTGACGCTTAGATGATCCAATGGGAAGGCAAACGCCGATATACAAGTTTGCACGACCCTCACAAGAGGAACCAAGAGATGGCTAAATTACAGCTACGAACTGTTTTGCAGATTCCGGATTTTTTCTCCAGCATATTCCCCTGCATGCGTTTAGCAGCCAAACAACTGCGGTTTTAAATCAGTTTTTCCTTCACTTAGACGAGCTACATTCTTGGATTTATAAGCCGTGTCTATCCGATATACACATAGATATAAATTCACATACACACATATTAATATATATATACATATTGACCCCTTAAGAAATAAAATATAAAGAAATAGGGATGACGACTATTCGTTGGGTGGGTGTGCAATGAACTATATATAATAAAAACTGTTGATATATTTTTACTGTTCCATTTCAAGTCAGTTGAAAATTTGAAGCCAAAAAGGTGCAATGTGCTGCTCTCCATAAGTCTAGCATCAGACATACAGGCAGACAGAAAAGATTCTCTATGGTGTTTAAATGGGAACAGTTTCGTTTTGAAGGCACTAAAACTTACAAGCCATTCCCTGCCCCAGTTAACCACTGACTGGATGTCCTTTTCAAAAGCAGCGGCCAGGTTAACTTTGTGACCTCTGGTAGATTTGCTATTGAGACAAAAGTAAATGGTAGTGTTATCAACATAAATGTCTACTTGGGAATTGATGATATCAAGAAGACCATTGATGAAGATCAGATCCAGCGTATGACCCAGGAGAGAGCCTTGTGGGACACACGCGTTCGTATGAAACGATCTGGAAACGAGCCCGTTTAAAACGACCTTCATTTCACGATTTGATAGGAACGATTGAATTAAATCTATCAAAAGTCCAGTAATACCGTAGCACTGAATCTTACGTAGAAGAACGGCGGGCCAAACCCTGTCAAACACCTTTGAGATATCTAGAGCCACAGCTTGAGCTTCATCATTATTATCAAGAGCTTGATATACATATTCAGTGATGGTCATTAGTACATGAGTAGTAAACCTGCCAAAACGGAAGCCATAGTATTTGTCAGAAAGTAGATCGTTTGAGGTATGGTGTTTAATCACATCAGCATTGATTAAAGCCTCGAATACTTTGCCGAAAGTGGTAGAAGATTAATAAAGCGATAGTTAGAGGGATCAGAAGGTTCTCCAGAGTTCTTAAAAAACAGGAACTACAAAGGACTGAATCCGAAACAGTATCGCCTGAGGTAGATATTCCTTTCCTCGGCCGTTCGAATTTCGACTTTCGAATTTTGAATTTGTGAACTGTTTGGAGAACGTAAGTTTCTGTGTTGCTGAAATTGATTTACATGAATTGTCGTCAAACAAAGTAACTAAAATGTTAAAGAGGGAAAACAGATTTGTATTTGAAAGAACTGTTAATCTGCTTTGATTGTTTCAGGCGCACAGGAAACATTTTATACAAGGCCTATACTGTTTTTTTTACAATATATTGTGATAAAAATATTTTCCTCTCATTAATAAATATTTGTTTCGTTGAAAATGTTCATTTTAATCAAGAGTCTTTTTTTTTCTTTTTCGTAAGCACCCCTAAAAGTATTTATAAGAAGAAAGAGAAGAGAATTAAGATCGAAACTATTCTCTACTCCTTTTTCTTTCTTTTAAATGTAAACCCGACGATATGCAAATGTTTTACTACACTATAATAAAGAGCATTCTTTCTATTGTCTATTATAATTAATATTATTGTTACTCATTATGGGCACGTGACCGAATGGATAGGACGTTCGCATTCGGACCATAAGACCATCAATTTCTCAGAAATGTTATCGGACTGGAGAGGCACCTTTGAAAACCATAACCCAGACCTTGTGATTGAAATTTGGTAGACGAAACCCTTTGAGGGCCGTCGATAGCACGAAGTCCCAAGTCATCGTGGCCGAGGGGTTGAGTGTGCTAGCCTTGTTCAAGTTGTTGATCACGCTAGATAATACGTTCTCTCCCAGAAACTGTAAAGTCTGCTAAGCATTGTCGAAGTATAAACCACAGGCTCTGTGGGTGTTGAATAAATACAAATGCGTTTGAGCAATTGTTTGCAATAAGGATTGGCTAGCCGCCCTAATAGGCGAATATCGTCGAATACGAGTGGCCAGCTATACTTTGTTATATGAACTTACCTGTTTTGGTTATACAGTTCTGTAGATCATCTGAAAGCATCAAATGGTCAGGACAAGCACAGATTCGTTCGTACAATGGACTGGGAAGACAGAAATGACTACACGACACACTGGAACATGGACTGATATCTGCAGCCGGGAAATTAAAAGAAAGGAAAACCGAATTAGGATCGACAAGATATGATTATGAATACATTTCTTTATGAAGGAGGAAGTTTTTTTAAAAATTGTCCATTGAAGCGATCAGCTTAGCCGCCCAAAATTATCGCTTTTCTTGTAATTTGGTGGATATTACGTCAGTTGCAACAAAACTCTGACAAATCTAACAAAAAAGTTCTGAAAAGTTCCCAAATAAAAATAAATACATACTCATATACTCGCTCTCTCTTTCTGTTCCTTTCAAGACATGACTGATCGCAGCTCTCCACAACTTCCTGCTTTTTTCTGATATAAGTAATTCCTGATTTTCTTTCTCTTTATATTTCTTCAGCCAACCATTTACTAAAATTTGTCAAATATGTTACACAGTATTTTTTTCCGATTATCAGTTTTTCCATTTTCCTTATGAGTGTAAAATTCTCCAAGCTTTGTTTCCTCAATAAATTTTGTTTTTCTAAGTAACTCACGTTTCTCATTTTTTGTACTGAACTTGATCCGCCAACCTTTTACTAAAAGCTCTCAAGTACGTTGCTCGCTATTTTCCCTGCTGCTTTCAGTGTGACTTATGAATGTTAAATTCTTCGAGTCTTCTTTCCGCGTTAAGAGCACGCAAAATATTCGACTCTCCTTCTCTTTCTCCCTCTTCCGCCCCTACCTCTCTCTCGCTCCCTCTCACTCTCTCTTCCTCCCCCGCCCCCGATTGTTAGCAACCTCGAAAAAGTGAATCATTGCACCTTCTCGGATTCACATTTTCTGATGACATCAAGTGGGAAGTGTGTATTGAATCAATGGCTAAGTCTGCAGTTAAAAAACTTGGTTCACTATTTCAAGCTAGACAATTTTTCTCATTAGAATCTATCTTATATATATATATATATATATATATATATATACATATATACATATATATATATATATATATATATATATATATATATATATATATATATATATATATATATATATATACCACTTGTCCTTGCTTTGTAGATTACTGCCATATCCGATCTGGTACTCCTGCTATATATTTAAAAGATTCTTGATGAAATCTAAAGAATAATTTGCAGCATTATTAGTCCTGACCTGGCATCTCGACTTCAGTCACTTTCGCGCCTCCATAATGTAGCATCCCTGTGCCTTTTCTATAAATACACTCGTGGTAATATTCCGATTAATCTTTGATTCCCAGACTTTACGAATTTAAGCACATTACTACATTAGTGACAGGGTGTCATAATTTTTACAATTGAAATGGCTAGATGCAACCGTAAGTTCTATGCTAATAGTTTCTTCTCTCGTTTTCTCACTTATAGAACTCTCTTGTGATTTCCGATTTTTGATCTTTGATCTTCAAAAATTTAAATGCAATGTTAATCGTTATCTTCTTAATTCTTGTTCTTGCGCCTTAATAGTACTTTTTTTCTCATATTCTTTAACACTCAGTAACTCATTGTGTCTTGGTGGCTTTATTGCCTTTCCTTTGGGTAAAATTATAAAACAAAGATAATTGTAAATATCCAAAGATATATACTTACCATAAACTATTTCACTGGAATTGTAAGCATGGATGCCGTTGAGCCGGACAAATTTCGATGTCCCGTCCCAAAAGTTTTCCAATTTTCCTCCATTTTTAGGCAACCGCACGAGTGAACTAAATAAAAGAAGTTTAAAAATATATATATATATATATATATATATTGAACATATATATATATTTTTGCGCAATCGAGAGTCATGTTGTTATTATTATTATTATTATTATTATTATTTAATTGAATTATTTATTTATATATTAGTTTCGTGTGTGTTTTTCTTTCACGTAATTTTTGTTTTTTTTCTGTTTTGGTCTTGGGAATAAATTCAAACTTTACACACACACACACACATATATATATATATATATATATGTAGGTCCGTAAAATCTCGTGTTTTCGAACATAAACGAGATATTCCTTCGGAAATTTAAACAATGCTTTAGTTGTACACACAACTAAAGCTGATCATAATTTCGATTTTGATTCTGTGAAGATTTTAAAATATTTTCATAATAAAAATCTTAGGTGGATTTATGAAGCAGGCATAATATCCATCTAACGCACGGTGAATACTAGACCTGGCTTCTTTAGTATTTCCCCTTTTCTAGCAAGATTAATGCTCGACAAACGTACATATAAGTTTTAGATCAAAATAAAATTCTTTTCGTTTTGCATTCAAAATACTCAAATTTTAGGAATACGTAAAACGGATATTTAAACGGAACGCTGATCTTATAAAAGATTTCTGTTATCTGTTTGGATTGGGATTGCTTTTATGTTCATCGTCTTTTCATGTTGAATTGTATATGGTCTATGTTAATTATGTCTTATGAATATGTCCTGAAGATGGTCTATTAGACCGAAACGTCCGACGTTGACATTAAACATTAAAACAGCATGATCGCATATTAGGATTTTTGTTTGTTTTTTCAGTATATTTTTCTTTATATATATATATATATATATATATATATAACGTGAATTAAGTTGTCAGAAACCGACACATGCTTTGATTATAGTGGTGAAGGCTTGTGTAGGACCATCCACACTTCTTGGAAATGCTGATAACATGACGTCGATGTAAAAGTTTGCCACGGACACCATGAACAACAGACCTATATAATTTAAAGAAAAACAGACCACTTTAAGGCTCCATTGTAATAATTTATTTCACCAGAAGAAGAAGAGGGGTGGTATAGCTTTAGCAATTTAGATTCTTCTTCTTCATCCTCCAAAAACCCTAAGTAGATCTCTTTTCTCTTTACTTCCCCCTTTTTTCTTTTTCCCTTTTTTTCTCTTTTTCCTTTTCCCATATCATTTCCTTTGAGTTGACGGATTAAATAGGTCAATGTCTGATCCTTAACCCCTCCTTCCCCAATATTAGGTATTATAATAAAAAGAAATATAAAAATAAATTTTAAAACTCTCCCTTCCCTCTCTAAACTCAACCATGTCTCTCACACCATCGATCGCTACCTTGTATGTCAACTTATATAAGCTTAACACTGCCCGTCAAAAGTGCAAATTTTAATTTCATTTTTCGTTTCACCTTTTGAGAGTGATATCTGAAGATCCAGGGGAAAATAAAAGTCTCTGGTGAAATAAATTATTACAATGGAGCCTTAAAGTCGTCTGTTTTTCTTTAAATTAAATTATTCGCTCTGAATTAACATTGAGCTCTCAGGATTTCATCCTCTTTGGGATTATCCATACGGATTACCAAGATTTTCGTTATATATATATATATATATATATATATATATATATATATATATATATATATATATATCAGCCTGCGTTTGACTTGTCCCACCCAGTCACGGTAATTTTAAATAGATGGGCACAGGATTAAAATAGATTTATTGGTAAAATAATTTACGAATAAAATATATAGTTCCAAGTGAGTAGAAAATGGGAAATATTACTCGCAGGCCTCCGTAAAAGTGTTTGAGCCTTTTTACTATATTCTTACTCGGTCCTGGACATTGAGTTCTACCTGGATTCTATTCACTTGGAAATTTATATATATATATATATATATATATATATATATATATATATATATATATATATATATTGACTACTAATATATATATATATATATATATATATATATATATATATATATATATATATATATATATATATATATACACATTACCGACCAGAAGTTTGGGACCACGCTCAATTGTTTCTCTAAGTTAAAAAAAAAAATCATAAAATTTCTTCTGACTGCCGCATTATTCAATAAAATTGTATTTTGCAGCTAGGAAGATGAGGGAATATTTCAAATCATCTCTTTGGTCCACTCAGTCTCCTTATCTTTTGACAATTAAACTAGCTTGGGATGAAAATGATTGTAAAGTCCTTAGTGAACTGTCTAAGAATAAGCAAGAGATGTCTACATATTTATCCCCTACTTGGGAATCACTTTCCCCAAAATACTTTTAAAAGTTACTAGGAAGGATACCAAGAATTCATTCTGCGGGATTAAATTCTCTTGGAGGAATTCTTTGATGAAAAGAAATTATAAATTTGATTTAATTGAAATTATAATTATTTTATATCCATTTTGAATTAAATTTTTGCATAATTGCATGCAAACATAGAAAAAATAAATTTATTTTTTTAAAGACATGAAACTTCGACATTTCAACTACCTGAAGAAGGCCGGAGCGTACAACGGCCGAAACGTTGTAATAAATATGGCGACGAAAATGAAGTCCATAGTCCGAATAATGTAAATAGTGTACATAATACCTCATCTCAGAAATGTAGATAGATACTAAATTGTTTCATAAAAATTCATAAAAATTCCTTCTGGCTACCACATTATTGGATAAAATTTTGTATGTAACAAGTTAATGATCGAAAACACATCTCAAAGATATGTTAATGATCTAAAACACAGCCCAAAATTGTTTACAAATTATCTAAAATCAAAGGTAAGAGAATTAGGCAAATCATGATTTGGCCTCATCAGTTGCCAGATCTTTCACCAATTGAACTAGTCTGGGATGAAAATGATTGTAAAGTCAGAAGTGAATTGCCTAAACATAAGCAAGAGATGTCTATACATTTACAGCCTGCTTGGGAATCACTTTCCCCAAAATACTTTTACAAGTTACTAGTAAGGATACAAAGATTTTTTTCTGTGGTATTAAATGCTCTTGGTGGATTCTTTGATGAAAAGAAAATATAAATTTGATTTAATTGAAATTATAATTATTTTATATCCGCTTTGACTTAAATGTTTGCATAATTGCATGCAAACATAAAAAATAAATTTATTTCCCGAAATGATTTGTGTGTGCGTGTTATTATTCTGAACTGCATACTTGTGATCAGCCAGATAATGATTTTTATGTTTCTAATGGTGGAATGTGTTAAGCAATGTCAGAACTGTGAGAGATGGGGAATTCTGGTTGCTAAGGGATCCTTGTTTCCTTTCCGATTGGCCAGAATATGGGATGATGATGATGAATGATGATGATGATGATATCCGCTATCTAGTCTCAGAAGAGAGAAGAAGCAAGGAGAGTTGATTGCCAAGACATCGGTGTCCTCTCTCCCTGGTAAGTCAGAGTCTGAGATGATGATGAAGATGATGATGATGATGATAATGTCTACGAAATAATCCAGTGAATTAATTCCAATCTAAAAGCGAATCATCTACAAATAAAGAAATGCGACTTTGTTGACGGAGATAAAAGAGCGTGTGCCGTTTTTATTGACTTACTTTCGAGACCAATCGGTGAGATAAAGATAATCTCCCGATAATGCTATCCCAAAATAATGCGCGTCTGCTTCATTGTACAGCAATCGATAATTTTTCCCTTCAGTTGTCATCGATGCGATTTTATTCGATCTGGCATCCACCCAATAGATGCGTTTGGCTGCAAAAAAATAAAGGACACCATTTTGAGAATGAGGAATTATCATGATTTAAATTTGGACTAATATTCTCATCTTTCTTGTTATTATCACTACATTTCGTAATTTTGTGTTATAGTAATTGTGAATTCAGTTGTGGGGTCAGTTAGTACAAACTCAATAGAAACATGGCAATCAATAACTGAACAATTCTACTGGCATAAAGTGAGGGGCTATTTCTAATGACATTAACTAAAAAATGATCGCCCTTCTTACTACATATCAATATATCCGGAAAAGAACAGATTTAAAGATTCATTCGTGAAAACATTCAAATAATAATAATCGTTATGTCAATAAAAATGGCATCGATGATCTATGTCTGAATATATTTCACTCTTTATTACATCTTTTACGTAAGGCTTAAGGAACATCGAAATGCCTTAATTTGAGACGCGACAACGAAATCAGGTATGACTGATCATGTATGGAGAGAAATGTGTCGTCACCAACTACTGTGAAATCAATTAAAAATACTACACAAAGAAGAAAATAAGAGAATCCTTAGTAGTAACAACATAGGAATAAATGAAATATGGGAACCAGTAATCCGGTCGTCTATATTGGATAAAAGAGTTGGATCATGTATTTGTTGACAGTGAATGTAAATTCAATACCTGAGCCGGCTAATACACTCTTTATTACACTCAGTGGGAGCAGAGTTACCAATAACTTATCATTACTAAGTAAATACCTAATGTATATAATGTTTACGTACGTATATTATATATGTTCCAAAAGTTGTCATAGCGAGGGTGATAGTGGGGCAAAGCTCCCATTTATATAAAAGACTTCCAATAACATGCGTCTGAAATAGCCTCTGATAATTAAGTCCGGCTCCAAGCTGGACAATGGGCTAAAGCGGAAAACTGGCGCCTCATAACCAGCTGGGCCGGTTAGATGAAGGTCGACAACCGAGGGAGGCTGTCCAGGTAGAGGAAAGAAAACCATGATTTTGAATCTCCGCTGTATTGTGGTTATATTCAAACACAGAAAAGACTATGGAATTAAATCCAGACAGAAAACCTGAAGTGGAGACCCGATGGCGTTCGTCTTTAACTCCTGCAGCCAAGCCGACCCCAAATGTAATATCCTGTATTCCTTTGAAGAGTACGGCCATAAAGTCTGCGTAGAGCACGGCCTCTATATATCATCGCCTAAGCCTGCGAATTTGATGGAGGGGGACCACTCCAGTTACACCCCCAAAGGACTGAATTTTGACCAAATGGGGGATAGCGCGAGATAAACGGGTGACTACGAAAAAATCTACCCTTATATACTAAGGGATTCAGTTCGACATTCTCTGAAGGTTATCCGGGTCGACAGATGCATAAAGAAGGCCGAAGGGAACAACGGCCGAAACAAAGACATTAATTCGAATGTAAATAGTGTAAATAAAAAAGGGCCTGAAAATAACATCTGATCAAAAGTTACGTGTTAAAAAGCAAAATGATTTTTAATAATGAAAAACAAAAAGTCTTGTGGCATTTTCTTTCTTGTATAACCATCATTGCTTTTCAGAAATCATTATTATATTCACTGAAAAATATGCGACTAAAATAAAATAAATATCTTCAATAAAAACGTGTTCAATTTTGTGTTTGGGAAAAATTTGAAGATATTTGAATTCTCATATGATTTCTTTACGGTTTAAGTGAAACGCTAAACCGCGTTTATATTTCGATAAATAATCATTTATATTTCGATAAATAATAATTTATATTTCGATAAATAATAATTTTTATTACGATAAATAATAATTACTTGAAAGGTTATTTTTAGTGGATACTCATGTTTGAATAGACACCCTATTTTTTATACAATATGTTTTTTTGTTTTTTTGGTGGTTTTATTTTGTGAATATATATATATATATATATATATATATATATATATATATTGGTTGGAAGAAATACAGAAACATCAGTTCCAAATCTACATCGAAAAACGCTGAAGTTAAAAGGACGTGAAACTTTCAATTTAAATTTTAAATTTCTGGCATCCGACGTGTCTAGAAGCACAACATTGCCGATCTCATTCAGTTTCTTACCGCTTTTGATTTCCTTTCTATCGATAAAATATTACTTAATCTGAAGAAGTCCATTTGAAATCGAAACATGGATTCCATTTTGTCGTTCAGTTACACACATAAGTGTCTGTGTATGTATATTTGAGTGTGTAGGTGAGCATGTATCTGGGTATATCTGAGTTTGTGTTCGTGCCTTTATTGCAGGGAATCTATGTCTGTATACACATGTTCATATTTTTATTGCCTCAAACGTTATTTTTAGTGGATATCCGTATTTCAATAGACGTTCCGTATTTTTTTTTAACATTATTTATTTCGTCTACTGGCCTGAACACTCCAGAAAACTTAATTAAATAGACGTACCCACTTGCAAATTAAATTTTCTTGAGTGCACAGGCTGATCGACGAATTAAACACTGTTTAAATAAATAAAACGGAACGTCTACTGCGTTAGACCAGTTGCCATCCAAGGCTATAGAATCCTGCTTACTTAACCATAGCTGGGGAAAGAAGAAGAGAATTCATACTTTTCCCAAGAGTATTAGCACGTAAGTGAATGTAATGGATTCGACTGGTATTTGAACTCGGCTCTCCGATTCCACAATCCGAGCCGCTAATCCATTACTCCACCACGATTTAAAAGTGATAAAGAATGTTTTTAATTCTAAAAGGTCATTTGCAGTTCAGGAGCGAGTTTTTCCTTAACATATCATTCGGTCACGAATGGTGATTTAAACCAACACTACAAAGATTTCCCTTGGATGAGCGCACCTCGACCTGGTGTAATGGTTAGCAAACTTGTCTTGCTTGAACAAGTACAAGTAGTGGGTTCAATCTTCACTAGCTGCCCCATACTTTCGGAATTGTACCATATCTAAGCTACGCTTAGAAAAACATTTACAGCACCCGGCATGGTGTAATGGTCAGTATGCTTGTCTCGCTAGATCAGTTACGACTGAAAAGTGAGTTCGATTCTCACTAGGTGCCCCCTACTTTCGGCTCGGTGGCACATCTATGCTACGCTTAGAAAATAGACATTTGCCATAATTGCTGTATTTTCGTGCAATAAATCTCGAAATGACCATCAGATCCAATCCCTCTCCGTGTCACACTCTCTTTTTTTGCCTCTCTACGTCTCTTTCACACCTTCTTTCTGTTTTATTATGTCCTTCTCTATTATTTTTTACCCTCCCAGTATCAAACGTGACACACACTTTACGCAGGCGCAATAAGTCCATAGCAGTTGTTCAACACATAATTGCAGAATTTATTTTTGACGTCTGTGTTTATGCTTTCAATTCAAATTCTTCCCCGTCGGCTGTATTCATTTTTGCACGACGGGTGGCGTAATAGGTAATAGCTCAGAATTGTTAATCGGAGAACCGTGTTCCAATTCCAGTTAGGTTCGTTATATTCACTTACGCAAAAATAATCTTGGGAAAGGCATGAATCCACATATTCTTTCCTTCCTAACTAATATGACTAAATCGTTATTATCTGTAAAAAATCTCCCTACCTAAAATATTTTTTGGAAGCAAGAACCGATTTGATAATTTGAGTGAGTTCTCTCCCCTTTTTATCTAAATATGTTGACTATGTAATTCTAAACTAAATCTACAATCTACATCAATTAATAATTGAGATTACAAATGTGCCCACATTAAGGCGTGGTTTCAAAAGGATGGGGGTTTTTTCACATGACACCGGTTTTTGTTTTGTTTTTAGTTTTTTTTTGTTTTGTTTTTTTTTTGTTTGTTTGTTTGGTTTTATTTTGTTTTGTTTTGTTTTTGTTTTTTTAACCACTTTCACTTTTCGGCAATGTTTACTGTTTTAAAAGCGATCATTAGAATTGGAATAAAATCTACACACATGACGAAAGTGAATTTATACATTTTCTTCTTGTTGTTGTTGTCCTTGAGAATTTACAATAAAAATATTAAACGCTATTTATTTACATTAGACATTTTATTTACAAGAATAATGTTAAATTTACAATATTTTAAAAATAATACAATTAACATTAAAAACAATGGAGTAATTATTATTTATCAATTTGTAAAGTAATACATTTTTAAATATGTGAACAGCTATAAGGAAATCCTTTACTGTTTTATAAAATTTGAATCAATTGGCAATTAGCCGATGTCAACCATTCCAATAAATAATCTAATAAATAAATAATGTTTATTATTTTGTTGTCAATTCTCAAGAACAAAGAAAATACATAAATCCACTTTTATATGTTTAGGTTTTATTAAAATTCTAATGATCGCTTTTTAAAACAACAAACATTGCTGAGGAATGAAGGTGGTTAAAATAATAGCGGCGTCAAGGGAAAACCGTCCTTTTGACAAACCGTCTTAATGCGGACATGTTTATCCATGTTTGCCCAATTTTCTTTTCTTTCTTGGGGTGTTTGTTTATAATGTTTTTATTACTGCTTTTTTTTTTTACTCAGAATGCTTGAAAAAATTATTTTTACCAAATTGAAGCCTTGTTTTTCGTGTCTTACCTTTGACATCAATAGCCAGTCCATTGGGCCAAGCTCCACTTTCAAAATTGAAGATGACTTTTCTATCTGATCCGTCCATTCCACAACGTTCAATTCTCGGCCGACTTCCCCAATCAGACCAATAAATTCGCCTAAAAAGTATTAAAAAGACAAAAACACTAAATACAAATTGACAGAGGTAGCCTAATGTTTTGATTTAATACAAACACTAAAAAAGTATTTGATATTATGATAACACTTTCTGGCTTCAACAAGAAAATAAGGTCTTTATATTAAGGAGAGCTTAAAGTGCAGTGCAACATGAATTGCAAGCCTACGGAACTACATGTGGAAGACATGCAAATGGAATGAAATGCTGACACATTGGTGATCGTGTTGTTCAACAAAACACACAAAACAAAGCAAGAGATTTGGAGAAATATTTGACTCCGGTAAAATTACCTGAAACAACAAATCGTTAAGACACTTGACAGTGATGCTGATGTGTTTGCATCAGTAAAAATATTGAAATGTTATGTCTCATATCACAAAGCAGGTTAGATTTTGACAACAACGGTACGTGGAACCAGGAAAATTTCAAATTCTGGCACTGGAAGCCCATGTATACAGGAAAACTTAAATCCATATCTTCTTGGGATCTTGTCCCATTAACAGATACATTGACAATATCTCTCATCACCGGCATGCCACAATGTTCCATGGAGAGATCAGTTTTTCTCTTCTTTTTTTTTTTTTCTATTTCGTGTCTATGCTTGTCTTTCTGTATGTACGTGTATGGCAGGGCAATGGTTAATCGATACAGAGAAGGGATCTAGCGAACACTGTTCAAATTCTAGGGGAGGTTTATCATTCATTTTAAAATAATGTTATTGGTAAAGAAATGATTGCAATCCCTACCGTGTTGTGCCCGATCACTAGATATCTCGATAAAAATGTCTTATCACTGGCATGTCACAATGGTTAAAAAGTACAGATCAATGAACACAGATCACAGTGAATGAAAATTGCCTGCTCATAAAAAAAAATAATGAAAGATTTTTATAGATCAGAACTTCATCTTTTATCAGGATCAAAGTTAAGCGATGTGGGACCTGCCTGTCTAAAGAATACTAGGTGCTGTAAGCTTTGATGTGCGGGTGGTGTAATTGATAATTATTAATGGGAGAGCCGAGTTCCAATTCCCGTTGGGTTCGGTATATTCGCTTAGGCGCATATACGCTTGGGAAGGCTATGAATCCCTCACTTCTCTCCCAGCTATGGGTTAATTAGTAAGATATGTCACTAAACCTTTATTATCTCCCACCCCTAAAAAATATTTTCTGGCTTTAAATAAACCTGCAGGGTTTTAGAAAACGAATCAATCAATCAATCTACTGATTAAGCAAAAAAATTTAAAGAAGAAATTAGTAACACTTGAAAACATTTTATCGTCAAAAATATATTCGTAGAATCTAAATATATTTTTGGCTTTAAAATAACCTGCAAAGGGTTGATTAGAAAACGAATCAAAATCAAACTGATTAAGCAAAAGAAATTTGAAAAGGTAAAACATTATTATCACCAAAATATATACTTTGAATCTAAAAATATTTTTGCTTTAAATAAAAGGGTTGATAAATAGAAAACGAATCAAATCAATCTACTGATTAAGCAAAAGAAATTTAAAGAAGAAATTAGTAACACTTGTAAAAAGCATTATTATCGTCAAAATATATTCTTAGAATCTAAAATATTTTCTGGCTTTAAATAACCTGCAAGGGTTGATAAACCGTAGAAAACGAATCAAAATCAATCTACCTGTAAAGCATTATTATCGTCAAAATATATTCTTAGAATAGAAAGGGTTGATAATCCGTAAAAAACAAATCAATCAATCAATCTACTGATTAAGCAAAAGAAATTTAAAGAAGAAATTAGTAAATTATTATCGTCAAAATATATTCTTAGAATCTAAATATATTTTATGGCTTTTAAATAACCTGCAAAGGGTTGATAAACCGTAGAAAACGAATCAATCTACTGATTAAGCAAAAAGAAATTTAAAGAAAAAATTAGTAACACCTGTAAAAATTATCGTCAAAATATATTCTTAGAATCTAAATATATTTTTGCTTTTAACCTGCAAATTATAAACCGTAGAAAACGAATCAATCAATCAATCTAAAAGCAAAAGAAATTTAAAGAAGAAATTAGTAACACTTGTAAAGATTATCGTAAAAATATATTCGTAGAATCTAAAAATATTTTATGGCTTTAAATAAGGGTTGATAAACCGTAGAAAACGACTGATTAAGCAAAAGAAATTTAAAGAAGAAATTAAACCTTGTAAAAGTATTATTATCGTCAAAATATATTCTTAGAATCTAAATATATTTATGGCTTTAAATAACCTGCAAAGGGTTGATAAACCGTAGAAAACGAATCAATCAGTCAATCTACTGATTAAGCAAAAAGAAATTTAAAGAAGAAATTAGTAACACTTGTAAAAGCATTATTATCGTCAAAATATATTCTTAGAATCTAAAAATATTTTCTGCTTTAAATAACCTACAAAAGGGTTGATAGAAAACAGATCAATCAATCAATCTACTGATTCAAAAGAAATTTAAAGAAGAAATTAGTAACACTTGTAAAACATTATTATCACCAAAATATATTCTTAGAATCTAAAATATTTTCTGCCTTTAAATAACCTGAAAAGGGTTGATAAAGTAGAAAACGAATCAATCAATCAATCTACTGATTAAGCAAAAGAAATTTAAAGAAGAAATTAGTAACACTTGATTGCATTATTATCACCAAAATATATTCTTAGAATCTAAAAATATTTTCTGCCTTTAAATCTGCAAAGGGTTGATAAACCGTAGAAAACGAATCAATCTACTGATTAAGCAAAAGAAATTTAAAAGAAGAAATTAGTAACACCTGTAAAGCATTATTATCGTCAAAATATATTCTTAGAATCTAAATATATTTTATGGCTTTAAATAACCTGCAAAGGGTTTAGAAAACGAATCAATTTTTTGATTAAGCAAAAGAAATTTTTTAACACTTGTAAAAGCATTATTATCGTCAAAATATATTTATAGAATCTAAAAATATTTTATGGCTTTAAATAACCTGCAAAGGGTTGATAATAAATGACAAAAACGAATCAATCAATCAATCTACTGATTAAGCAAAGAAATTTAAAGAAGAAATTAGTAACACTTGTAAAGCATTATTATCACCAAAATATATTCTTAGAATCTAAAAATATTTTCTGCCTTTAAATAACCTGAAAAGGGTTGATAAACCGTAGAAAACGAATCAATCAATCAATCTACTGATTAAGCAAAAGAAATTTAAAGAAGAAATTAGTAACACTTGTAAAGCATTATTATCACCAAAATATATTCTTAGAATCTAAAAATATTTTCTGCCTTTAAATAACCTGCAAAGGGTTGATAAACCGTAGAAAACGAATCAATCTACTGATTAAGCAAAAGAAATTTAAAGAAGAAATTAGTAACACCTGTAAAGCATTATTATCGTCAAAATATATTCTTAGAATCTAAATATATTTTATGGCTTTAAATCAAAAAGGGTTTTGAAAATGAATCAATCAATCAATCTACTGATTAAGCAAAAAGAAATTTAAAGAAGAAATTAGAAACACTTGTAAAACATTATTATCGTCAAAATATATTCGTAGAATCTAAAAAATATTTTTTTTAGAAAACGAATCAATCAATCAATACTGATTAAGCAAAAGAAATTTAAAGAAGAAATTAGTAACACTTGTACATTATTATCATCAAAAATTATTCTTAGAATCTAAAAATAGCCTTTAAATAACCTGAAAGGGTTGATAAACCGTGAAAACGAATCAATCAATCAATTTTAAGCAAAAGAAATTTAAAGAAGAAATTAGTAACACTTATAAAGCATTATCACCAAAAATATATTCTTAGAATCTAAAAATATTTTCTGCCTTTAAATAACCTGAAAAGGGTTGATAAACCGGAAAACGAATCAATCAATCAATCTACTGAGCAAAGAAATTTAAAAGAAGAAATTAGTAACACGACCAAAATATATTCTTAGAATCTAAAAAATATTTTCTGCCTTTAAATAACCTGAAAAGGGTTGATAAACCGAAAACGAATCAATCAATCGATGAAATACTAATTAGCTACATAGTCATGTCTTTTAGATGTATTTACGTTCTCTGGAATATAAATGTATAAGAACTACACTGGCCACTAATTGAGGGATAATTTTATATGTTGATTGCATTATAGAATTGATCCACCACTTTATATCCACTTTATATTTTTTTTTTTTTTTTTTTTTGCTTATCAAATTCTTATAACCTAAAAATATTTTCTGGCTATAAATGACCAGCAAAAAGTTGATAAGCCGTAAAATAACGAATCAATCAATAATAAATATCGATTTTTATCATTTTAGAAGAGGCGTCAGGTTCATAATATAAGTGCAGTATGAAATCGATCCCTGATTTTTTAAGTAATTATAGAAATTAAATGTATATTATTTACTAGAAAAATAAATATTTTTTTTACCATAGTCTATTCTCATCTTTATCAATAATAATATGGCAGTAAAAGTTAGGCAATTTCCTCAAAGATGAAGAGAAAACTGAAGGCAAGAAAGATGTTGCTCTACAGAAGGATGCTGAGAATATCATGCAATAAACATGTGAGCAATAAGGAAGGTTTAAGGAAAATGACAACAGACACAGAAGTTAATCGAAACTTCTAGGACACATCATGAAGAAACACTGACAGGTGTGGAAAGAAACAGTCGGCAACTTACCTGAGTTTGTTTGAATAGATGGCTAACTAGGGACAATAAATGAAAGCAAAAAGTAAAATGTCACTTAGAGTTAAAAAGGAAAGGAAATAGTGGAGATCCATGATCATCCACGTCCTAAAATTATTCTGATGAGCTCAGAAACAAAGCCGTGCCATCTTTTCTCCCTCCCACTACGCATTAAATATCAGAGTAGGCACGCTATTCTCCTCTTGGATGGCAACTAAACTAAAAGAAGGAAAATTTGGAATTACAAACCAAAGAGAAGACAACGTGAAACACCCTTATCTTTCTGAAGAGTGCATCACGATTCATAGATAATAAAAAATAAAGTAAAGTTTCGAGCGCTTTCGTCTTGAAGAAAAATGGCATTTAAACCAAAGTTTGAGATAGCTTGGGTATAAGGCCACAGATATGGTGTACCCAGTGTGGATGGGCCTTGGTCGTAATGATCAGCCAGACATGGTCGTTAACCCAAACTGTAGCGCCCTTCTTAATCTATTGTTAGTGGACACTACCTTTACTGTGTGAACAATATTGTAGTATTTCCAATATGGGCCGGAAATTTGAAGGGAGATAACTCAACGTTGTTTTACATTTTGCTTTTTGGTTATGTCCCTTATTTCTTCTTTTTATTTCTCTCTCTTTCTTTATTTTTCTCCCCTACCCACCCCCTCTTACACACTCTCTCTCAAGTACTACTAGGCGATTATGATTCTCTATAACTTTTGCTACTCAAAATATTCTTTTCTCCTTTCAATTGTCTTTGTGTTACTTGTTCCGCCATTTTGTCAAACTTTTCGAAATGGTTACTTGTTATTTCAATCTGTTTTTTGCTCTTTGTGTCCTAAGAGTACTTTTTTTTAATTTACAGTAAGGTTCACCCTTTACAATGCCCGGGGGCCACTCGAGGTAGAGGGTTACATTAAGAGGCCACTTATTTGAATAGGACTAGGTTAACCCTAGCTTTCCTTATTATGTGTCTCCAAAATTGCAGCTATCTGTTTCTGACTGCGAGCAGCAGTTTCTTCTTTATTCCTTAATCTCCTTAAGACTTCATCGTTTCTCACATGCACTGTCCATGATCTTCTCAATATTGACGTGGATTACTTTTTAAATTCTACTACGTTTACTGATATACAGGATTGTAAAAATCACATCGCGGTTTATACGTTTTGCTTTCTTTCTATCAATACTTTCGTCTTCCTTAATACCTTGCTTACTTTCTAAAAAAAAACATTTTCATCGTCTGAGCCACACTTTTGCTTGTCTGTTACTATTGGAGGTTACCCCCACATAGCTTCACCAGTTTCGAAAAGTCGTTTGATTTTATTGATTTGTTTTTTTACGGCTTATCAACCCCTTGTAAGCCAGAAAATATTTTTAGACTGTAAGAGTTTTTTGAGATAATAATGATTTAGTGATACAAGTTTTACTTATTGACCCATAGCTGGGAGGAAAAGAGGTGGATTCATATCGAATCAAAATTTGATAAACAAGCGAGAAATTATAATATGGAGATAAAATATAAAATGGGGGATTGTTCTGTATTACAATCACTATATAAACTGATCCCTCACTTTGTGGCCATGATAGTTTCTATACATTTATTCCAGAGAATGTAAATAAATCTAAAAGACGTGCCTGTGCAGCTAATCAGTATTTCATAGATTGATTGATTTGTTTTTGATAGTTTATCAACCCTTTGCAGGTTATTTAAAAGTAAGAAAATATTTTTAGACTGTAAGATTTTTTTTTAATAATAATAATAATGATTTAGTAATGCAAATCTTACTAATTAACCCATAGCTGGGGGAAAGAGATGGATTCATATCTTTCCCAAGGGCATTTTGCGTAAACGAGTATCACTGAAAAATAACACTTGGTGTAATAATAATATATTTCTAAATACATCGGGATGATGTGCCTGGCCATATCACCAGTGATGTAACCCTGAGATCATTAGGGTTTTCGGTTCTCTCAATATCATATTCCTTCACCCAGTTAACTTAGCTAGTATAGATCAAATACTAGGCTATAGCCAAGTAACGAGCTAACACAATGTTACCTACTACGACTGAAAGTGTTTGTGGTGGGTTGGAATTTAATATTTCGTCCGATATCAGAAAATGATAATGTCGTTGGACAACAATAAATAACACAAAAAATTGGTTAGAAAAATTAAGGGTCAATTTTTTTTATTGACGCAGGTGTGTATACTAAATTCGGAAGTTAGTAAGTGGTCGACCTCAAATCAACATGACGTTGAGAGAGGGTAATTGAATCTCTTTTCTTTAGGCCCGCTACAAAAACACGTCTGAATCCAATGATTCGAATGTATCCAGACTCTAGATGATCTCCCTTTCCGGAAGTGAGGTCACAAAATTTACACGTAACCGTTTTTTTTTGGGGGTATTTTTGATATTTATATATATATATATATATATATATATATATATATATATATATATATATATATATATAATATAATTATTATGTTTAGTATTTATCTTATTCATTTCACAGCTAGCAAATCTCTCAAAAAATATATTTCTGGGTTCTACCCAAAAAAAAAACAAAGGAAGAATCCAAATCATTGGTTTTCTCAATTCCAAATTTACCTTGAAGCCCCTTTTCTAAAGTGCTGGCAATGACTGATCGAACTTTTTCCAGATCAGTACTGATCAAGGTCTTGTGGAAGGAATGGTCTGTGAGAGTCATGACACCAATGATCTTCTGACCAGCATCACTGTAAAAGAGAAGTTGGTTAACAGAATCGACTGCCAAACCGTCGGCAATAGAATCTGAAAAAGAAGAAAAAAATAATTCAAATAATTTAAAATCACAAAATGAATGCTGAGATCACGAAAAACGAATCGGCAAGCGTTTGAGACATTACCTTGGAAAATTATGACTCTATCTGGTCTTCTCTATTACCACTTATGGTTAAAAATAGTAAGGCAAACTATGTTTATTAACATAGATAGGATAACATAATAAATATTAAATGCGCCAAGGACTTTCTGTGAAACATGTCACAAACATGCACAAACGACACACACACTCTATCTCTCTCTCTCTCTCTCTCTTTCTCTCTCACTCTTTCTCTATACACACACACACACACATATATATATATATATATATATATATATATATATATATATATATATATATATATATTATAATAAAGGGAAAGAACAGTAAGATATATAATCCGGTGTTCTTATTAATATTTTTATTTTTATAAAACACTGCTCAATGTGAATCTACAGAGCATAAATATTATAAATTCAAAAAGTTGTGTGGAGGCCGTGGTTGAAGCCAATGGCGATTTTATTGAATAAATTTCATTTAAAATGAGATGTCAGTGTTATTTTCATTTTTGTGTAATTTAGACGACAATTTATCCATCATCCCCTATATATATTTTATATATATATATATATATATATATATATATATATATAAATATAAAGAAATATAGATTTAAGTTGTGCTATATTTATAGGATAAAGTGCTTAATATCAGAGATAGAGCGTATGTAAATATAAATATAAAATGAACATTGAAATTAACACTCAGAGGCGACACTATGCGTGTAGCATGAAACAGCCTGTTGTCTCTGAGTGTTGAATTCAATATTCCCTTTAGTTCCGTATAGGATGCAGGTTCGAATCCTGTCAAAGAACGAATATTTTCTATGAAAATTTCTCGGACATTCAGGCCGGTAAATGTTATTTAATACTGTTTATTATAAACAGAGCATTTTACTAAATACTTGTATCTATAAAAAGAATGTTAAACATATAAATGTCTTTAATAAATTGTCGGTCTTTGTCCAATTCTTAATGTATATATATATGTATATGGATGTGCATTTTGTATAATGGTTAATGGCTTGGAATGTGAAACCAGCAAGCAAAGTTTGAATTCCAGTTAAGTTTGTTTCATTCTCTTTCATGCAATTAACCTTGGAAAATGTATGAATACATCTTTTTTACGCCAGTAATCAACAGTCCAGCACAGAATTACTTGCACACATATGGGCAGAATAATGCCAAATGAACATGAGAGCAGTCTAAACCTGGAATTCTCCAGAAAAGATTAAATTCCATAAAGTCCATAAAATTAATTAGTAATACTAACTTATTCAAAAGAGACGCGATATATTGATAACTACAAACCTCCTTCTCTGCCTTGGCCTATTCCTTTATTAACCAATCAGAATCCCAATAAAGATTCGCTGTTTGTCAGTCGTCTCCCTTTTCGTAATGGCGCCCGGCAGACTCAAATGTTGATCAGGTTATTTGTTTAGACGAGTGAAACAACGTCATATAACAATTTCTGTGGTGGCCTCTTCCCTTGATGCCTCAAGTACGTGCTTATTTTTTATTAATGGTAATTCCAGCCCTGTTTATCTTTGTTGCATATAAGAAACAATTCTACTTTTTTAATCCTTAAAAATAAAAATATTCTGTAAAGGCTAGCATGAGCCGTACCGTCAAAAAATGATCTCTACGTTGTGGTGAAAGCAATTATAGTTGTTTCTTTTTGGAACTACTTGACGACAAAAAAGAACGGTCTAACCTTACTTATCAGTGGTAGTGAAATTAAATTAAAAATGCTTCACTAGAAGGTTGAACATTCGCCTGATTTTTTTAGATATGTATAAGCAATTTTACAATTAATTTGTTTAAATTTACTGTAAGAATAATACTGTATTTTTCTATACTCTTCTATATAATTTTATTATCACATGGACGAAAGAATTTTGTTTTTTTATTATTAAAAATAAAAGAAGTAAAAATAAAAGAATTAATTAAAAATAAAAGAATTAAAAAAGAATTAAAAAAAGAAACTATCAAAAGAAATGAAACAAATAAAAATCAATTCATTAAAAACTTGATCTCCCCTATTTTATTTTATTTTCCACTGTTATGGAAACATGAATTTATATATTGGTATCAATTAATATCTCCTGTTAACAACGAAATATTAATGAGAAAATGAAAAAGCCTGTGTGACTGATATATATATATATATATATATATATATATATATATATATATAGAGAGAGAGAGAGAGAGAGAGAGAGAGAGAGAAGAAGAAGAAGAAGAAGTCGTTCTAAAAGAATCTGCTATAGATATATAATCAAGATTCCGGTGGGCAATAATCGACCATGACTGCCGGTTTCAATACGTTTTCCTGCATTCCCCAGACGGCCGGTCAAAAATATATCTGTAAAAAGGGTTGATAAGCCGTAAAAAAAATAATAATTCAATTAATTCCTCAAATAATGATAGAAATTAGAAATTAAAGAATTTATGCGCGTTTTTATTATAACTTTTCACAACTATCTAGATTTTCTCGGGACAGCTGTTTCAAAATCGATTATCCTAATATATATATAGATAGATAGATAGATAGATAGATAGATGAATAGATAGATATAACATGATTTTATATATTGGTATCAATTAATACCTCCTTTTAACAACGAAATATCTCATTACTGAGAAAAGAGGATTAGACTGCGTGAATGATATATATATATATATATATATATATACTAGCAGTAGAGCCCGACGTTGCCCGGGGATGTAACAGTAAGAGATAGATCAAGTATCGACCATCATAAAGACTGAAAAATAAAATTGACAAAGATTATTGTTTAAGGTTGACGGACACGCATGTCTTAATTAGTTTTTTTTTTTTACGAATTGGTCAAACCCAAATTCAAACAAAAACATTGTTTACAATCGTTCTATCGATTGGTGAATAAAATTTGATTATAAACAATTGTCTTGTAAATGGAATTTTTAAAGCATTCTGAATGTAAAAATAAAGAAAAAAATATGCAAGACAATAAAAATTATCTGCCAAAAAAAGTGAAGTTTTATTTGAAATCGGTTGAAAAATGTAGGTAGCCTTTCTCTGTAATCTTTTACAATTTATGATTTTTACTTATAGAATACAGTAAAAAAAAATTGCATATTTTGCTTGTGGTGATTCATAATTAGAATTCTGATTTGAATATATTTTCCACTCGTTGTTTAATACAAAAAATAGTAACTTTATTTGGGTTTATTAATTTATTACAAGTACTGTGTTCTTTCCTTAATAATTATCATCTTCGAAATATTGTTGTTTTTTGTCTATCAGATTTCTTACGTCAGCATTTTAAAATTATTTCTTAATACTTTCTTTTAAATATTGAATTAATTTCAAATAGAACCAATGCCTTATTGATCTGCCTTGTAACAAATTGCAAAGGGAATTGTAAAAACGGACCTAAAGTACGTGGAATTATCTTTCCCTAAAGATAAAGAATTATCCTATTTTTCGATTCGTACAATCGGTAGAGATCGTTAGATTATTGTTTAGGTTGACGGACACGCATGTCTTAGTTTTTTTTTTTTTTTTTTTACGAATTGGTCAAACTCAAACAAAAAACATTGTTTTAATATCATTATGATGAGTCCCCCGATTGAATAGAATTAGAATTTTATTATAAACAATTGTCTTGTAAATGGAATTTTAAAGCATTCTGAATGTATAAATAAAGAAAAAAGTGTGCAAGACAATAAGAAATACTACCTGCAAAAAAAAAAAAGTGGATGTTTGTTTTATCAGCTGAAAAATGAAAAGAAATCCGATCCCATATATAAAGGAACACACACACACACACACACAACCTGGGTTTTTTAACCTAAGTCACTCCACGGAATTGCTAAAACATAGAGCATAGTCTGATGAAAAAAGACCTTAAAGTTTATGAAAACAAAATTTTATCGTCAAAATGCTTATGTTTTTTATGAAGAGGATAGACTAAATTTTTTTTTAATTATTTTTAAAATTTTTCCATCTTTTTAGAATATTCTGAATTTTGATTTAAAAAACCTTGTTTCTCTTTGTCGCAACAAAGGGTAGTAAATAACATAGATAATTTTTAGCGCGTTTTTTTTTGTATTTACACACATTAATTTGGAAAATCTTGCAAAAATAAAAATAATTGTCAGATGTTAATGAAACTTTCAGAAACTATTCACAGATGATCGAAATTATTATAAATATTTTTTTTTTATTAAAGTCATGGCAGAAATATTTTTTTTTATATTTATTAACACCCCATAACTAATTTTATGAAAAACTCTAGAAATTCGAGACCATCGGTTTTAGTGATTACAATAGTTAAAAGCACAAGGCTTTGAAGAATGCAAATCATGTTTTTTTTTTTTTTTTTTTTTTTTGGCCAATGTACCTGAAAATCAGCTGTGAATTGTAACATACAAAACTCAATAAAACAAATATATTATTTAGTTTCAAATGCTTTTATTTGTTTTAATTTGTTTTTATGAATATGGACAATATTTTCTGAAAGCAAAAAATTTTTTCAATGAAAATTGAATTTTTAATACAATTATTTCTTATTTCTTTAATTTTAAAAAGATTTTTTTAAAAATTTTAAATTGATTTTTAAAAAATATTTTAACATTAGTTAAAAGCAACATCAACCTTTCAAAATGTCCGTGTGAGATTGTCATTGTCTAGCGCTTTGAAAATTGTATAATTTGGACCAATCAGATTAGCCATGGTAATTAATATCAGTAATTATCAAGTACGGAAGACCAACCAGAATACAATTTAGTTGCATTATTTGAGTTCAGCATTGTTCTCCGCTGTTAAGCCCTTTACTTTTGCGAAACACGTATGGAGAAGTTAATTTGAGTTTTCAATTTCAACTGAGAAGGGTACCTACAAGTAACAGTATCATCTTATGAAATTTAACTACTGCTAAACTTTAATTTATATGATCTTATTTTTATATTAATCTCAGTTATGACATTTTTCCATAAATGAAATATCAAAATTAATAATAAAATGAATGGAAATACAAATAACACAGTAAAATGTAATAAATGTACATAAAATTATAGTATTTTATGTACACTTCGATAAAATTTCATAAGAAAGGTACCTAAATTAATTAGATACCTTTTTCTTATGAAATTTAATCTCACTATTAACAGTCTTATTTTTTTAATTTCTTTATATTTTCCTTAAAGCATCGTAAACGTAAAAATGAAAGCTAAGTACAAAAAAAATTAGAGCGCTGAAAGTTTTCCTTAAAAGTAGCAAGGTAAATAATTTGTTCACTTAAATAATTTCACTTCCTTCCATCCGTAGAAAGAATTATCCTCCCGTAAGTTATCTAAACGTCATGAATGTGCCTTTCGTCAATCGTCAAGCGACGCGAAAGGTTATGACCTGCTTTGTTTTATTTTCAAATTACATTTTTTCGGCGCAGAAGCGAAGTTAAGCTTGGTTCAAAATATTTTAAATAAACAGTATAATTTCTGTTTTTATTAAAATCAGTTTTGAAAAAATGATAATTGATTTTTAAAAGAATATCAAATTCAGATTTTAATCTTTTTTATCAAATCGAAAAAAATGATTGAAAATGATTGATTATCTGTCCTTTTTTACCAAAAAAAAAACAATATTTTTAACGAAAATTTAAGACGTGCTAGGAACGATTAAAAATGTAAAAAAAATACCCCCAAAATACTTTGATCTTTCCTCTTTAATAATAATATGAACATTAGACGATAAAATTTTGTTTTCGTCAAGTTCGGCTTTTTTTTCATCATGCTATGCTCTTTTGTTTACATTTTCGTGGGTGAGTTGTCCCCTTTCATTCTCACGATGTGTCTTAATCGTGTTTTTCAAATTGATTTTATTAAAAACACAATTTTTTCCCGTTTTCGGAGCCATTAGAACCATCACAAGGTAATTTTATGTAGTCCTGTGAAGTTTTGTTAAAATCGGCTAAAAATGTAGGAAATTCGATCCAATATATAAACGTTACAGACACACACACACACAATCTGCGTTTTATAATAAGTAAGATATATATATATATATATATATATATATATATATATATATATATATATATATGTATGTATTCGGGCAGCAGATCATTATTCAAATATATAATGTTAAATATAACAGACAATGAATGTCTGTTATGTTTGAACGGCTAATGATCAAACAAAAAAAATTCGTTGTCTGTTATATTTAGATATAAACATTTCTCAGGTTTAACCTGTAGAAACAGATCAATATTTTCACACGTGACAGCACTTGATGTAATTTTCAGTTGACATTATGAATATAACTGCGTTTTCTAAATTCTTCCAGTTGCTAAGGACATTTTTTTGTTATTATTAGTTACTTCGTTTTAATAAATTCATTTCGTTTTTGCCGTGAAAAAAGTCCACATTGGACGAAACACGTCGGCTAATATTAGTTTTCCTATTGTCTTTTTATATATATATATATATATATATATATATATATATATATATATATATATATATATTAATTTACAAATTCATGAATTATTCATACAAAAAACAAATACAAAGGTTAATGATTTAATTGGCGAGAAATCCATCGTCGCGAACAATTCAAATAATATACAATAACCCCGAACCTGTCTATGAATGAAAAGATCCTTGTTTCTATAAATTCCTGTTGCATGAGTTCTTATTATTTTTACAAGCTTTCGTCTGTTCATACAGACATCCTCAGGTATGGAATAGATTTTGTTCTTGTTTTTTTTCTCAGTAATAAGAGGACAACGAAAATAGATGTACTGTTGTAATCCGAAAAATGCTATTAGAAATGAGTTATTGTTTTTGGAGCGTGCTGTCGCAACGCTAAGTTTGAATTTAAATTTTACAATTGTGCGTTCTTATACAAATATGGTGATAAGTGAATTCTTTTTTACTGGTAAATTTTCTGTCAAAGTGGCATGAACTTTATTGTTCAATAATTACAGTAATGTCACACTTATTATCCAAAAGTTGCATTTGGATCAGTTATTTTAATTTCAATAAAGGTACAATTAATTTAAAAATTCATGAATTATTCATACAAAAAACAAATACAAAGGTTAATGATTTAATTGGCGAGAAATCCATCGTCGCGAACAATTCAAATAATATACAATATATATTGAAAAAACATAACCCGGGATGACCCAAGCCTCTTGAGTGAAACTGGGTAGAAGAAACTGTTCGAAAGTCATCGATAGTTAAGCTAGCGTGGAGTCACAAGTCATGTGTAACATCATGAACACCAGTTTAAAGAAGTCATCGTGACCTTTTCAAATTGGTGATACCGCCATTGTATGAACTCTCTTCTCAACTCTGTAATTAAATTCTCCTAAATTCTAAATAGTTACAGTATAAACCAGAGTTTGACTATGTGTTTGTTAAAGAGACATGTACCGGAGCAGGTATCTGCTAGTAATTAGCTATCCGCCTTTCCCAACAGACAGGCAAACTCGGAAACCTGTAGACAATATCTAAGTCTGTGGTTCCCAAAAGGTGCGACTGAAGAGGATAACAGGCGAGGCGGAATGATTGAAAGCCAATCAAAAGAAACAGTTTCAAAAAATTCATATGCCAAAAGTAAATATGATTTCAAGTGTCCCAGTATAGTTATAAACAATTATTGACGATTTTATCATTGTGATATGTTTGCATTATTTCAAGTATTAGGAATATAATGACTAGGATCCGCAAATTGAAGGAGAGAGTTATCAATGATAATATTCTGACTTCGAATTCGTGGTTATCTCCCTTTAACATGTGAAAAACGAGTTCATACCTTTCATTAAATATATGTATTTAAATCATAAGTTATTTGTGTTATACTTAACGCACTATTAGTTGGTGATTTTTTTTAAATGTACATTTTCTCTCATAAAATTTCGTGAGGCGCGAGCAAATTTTCATCCTGAAAATGCAGCCCAGAGAAAAAAAAGTTTGGGATCCGCTAATCTAAGTTAATATGAAACTCTCAGAATATCTGAACATTGCATATCGATCCTTGGGAATTTGGAGATAATTTTTTAGAAAATATGGAATATTTCTGCCATCATCTATAATGTTTTTGTTTTCTTCCAGTCTCTTTCATATAAATGCGGTATACAGCGAATAAAAATTCAGACAGCTTTTTCCCAAGAGCCTGTGATTTATGGGACTGACTCCTGGGAGGATGCTTTCCTAACTACTAAAATTTTAACTTCTTCAAGTCCTTGAGTCAACCGTTATCTATCTTACATACCCTCATAATCTACAATCCTTCCAACTTCTTACGTCTGAAAAACAACATAATTCAGTAACCCGCTACCGTGAGTGGCTCTTGGGCCTTGAATTGGGTTAGGCATCATATGGCCAATCGTATATAGATTGTCTCAGTTAACGTTAGCCTATCAGATGCTTCAACACCATATATAAGACACGGGGATATTTTTAGATATTTTTGGAGAAAATAGACAGCTTATTTGCTATCAACTACAATAGTTTCCTCAGTTTTCATCATGCAAATGCAACACACGGTGAATGAACTTTAGATTTACTTACCTTCTGTCAATTTCTTGACAAGTGTTTCCTGTTTTTCATGAAATTTTGCCTTTTTGATTGACTTATGGGCCACATCGGTCCAATAAATCATTTCTCTCAGTGGGTCGTAATCGACGGCAAATGGACGGAAGTGATCTTCGATATCCAAAGCGTGAACTTTCCGCGTCGGAATGCTGATCTGAAATATCTGCTTCCTATAACCATCGGTAACCAACAGAAAATTGTCCACTGACAAATCAGTCACACAAGTGTGTCCGTCTTCTCCCAGGTGATAACCAAGACCGCATTTGCACCAAAAGGAGCGGTCCTCTCCGGGAAGACACAAATGTTGCAAGTCTCTGCAGGGCACGGTGCTAAAAAAAAAAAAAATAATTAGATATTTTTGTAATCATTTCACCCCCAAGCAAGGCGATAAAGCCGCTAAGGTGCAAGGGGTTGCTGAGAAAGAAACAGAGAGTAAGATAAAAAACATGTATTAAGGAGGCAGACGATAACGCGTGATACTGCATTAAAAATTTTGAAAATAGCAGTTGACAAGAAAGCATGGAGCCGGAAAGGAGTTCCACAAGCGAGAAGTGCGAGATAAGAAACTATTAGCATAGAACATACGGTTACAACAAATAATTTTAACAGTGAAATTATTTTACCTAGCTGCCAATCTCTACTACGCCTAATCTTCGTCACTCTGTGACTTCATTTGTTGTACAAAGATGTTATACTACCATTGAAATTGACTCTGATCCCTGAACAATACTGTGTTTGCATTTCATAATTGTGTTGTCATATCCTGCTATGGCAACAAAATACAATATCTTTCTATATTCGTGCAGCTGCGGAAAGAAATATAAAGGGGAGACAGGCCACCCCCTTACGGTAAGGCTTCAGCAACACCAAAAACCTGTAACACGAGGGGAAGCGGAAAAATCATGCGTGACTGACCACATATGGAGAGAAAACGGAGATTACCGCCCTCTTTTGGATCAGGTTGAAATTATAGACAAAGCAGCTCACTGGAAAATTCCTAAACTTAAGAAATCAGCACATATGCTAGGCCACAAAAATCTCCTGAGCCGAGGAAGCATAGAAATGAATACAATATGGGAACCAGTAATAAGGAGTGCCAGAGAAAAGCAATAACAACGAAAATTGTAATATGAGCTCTGGTAAAAAACATATAATGATAACAGCAAATAGTGCAATATGAGCACTGGTAAAAAAGGTTGGTGAAGACACTTAGTTTGTAAGTCCCGGAAATTCATACACAGATGCCCTTAAGAACATATGGCAGAGTGGATAAAGGCGTTGGTTAGATGCAGTGACAGGAAAGAGTTGTGAGTTCAATACCTGGCTAAGGCGGTTAGTGGAGATCTTGGACAGGTGAATTAACAGGAGATAACTGACATCCATTAGACATGGCACGTGGAACTAGAACAGTCTACTGCAGTGATTGAAATAAAGCGTACAGTTCGACATTCTTCTGATGACAATAGTCCGAATAATGTAAATAGTTAACTTTGAATGAAAGAAAGTAATATTAATAATATAACAATAGAGAGTGCAACAGATTAAATTCGTGAAGTCGATGTACTAAAGAAAAAAATTTTCGGAACAAATACCATGAAAATATTAAGAGAAAAGACACAAGGAAGCTACGAAGCCGAGATACCAGATCAGGACCGATAACATTGCAGATTCTCCAATGGATTCTGTCAAGAATCACTCTATATATCGCAACAGTATCAGACCATGTGGCAGCAATATTGGATGCATAAACGAATGGTAAACTCATAAATGTTCAATGAAAAATAGCCTAGGACGAATTTCCGAACAGCATTAATTGATTCGATATAATCATTCCACTTTCTTATAAACGTTTACGAATTGAATAGACATTGAATCACTTGTGATATTATGCAATAGATATTTCACACCAGACCGTCAAAGTGCAAGGTAGACCTGTGTATACTGACGGCCACCGAATACAGAAGTACGTAATCTCACACCAAGGATGAGAACGAGAATGTTGAGCAGATGGCTATATAAATGATGAGATAATCGGCGAAGTTTCTCACACATCGCAGACGAGATACGTAATCGAAAGAGAAGGGATATGTAATCGAAAGAGAAGCGATCGTGGCCGCACGCAAACTAATGAAGATACAAGTGTTGTGTTAGTATTTAATCGGCAGACCAACTTCCTTACACAAAGAGATTGTCAGTAGTCATCGTAAGCATCCACTAGCATCCGATCATCGGGATCGTCACCCTCTCTCCTTATTGCCTTCTTCTCTCTTTTGGTGGCGGTGACGGAAATGGCTGTGAAGGCCCAGCCTACACCTGAAGGATTGTGAGTAGGAATCACAGAAGAGTTTGAGCGGTGGCCACGGCTGGAAGAGTCGGGCCCTCCTGACAGCATTTCACAGATCCTCTTCATGTTGATGGTTGCACTCGAAAATCTCGGTTTCCCCTTGGATGGTCCTACGTCCAGAAGACCGATTTGCAGTAACAGTTTCCCTGGCCTCAGGGTCGATGTTGGCCTGTGTCAGGGATGTTATCAACTGATACCTGAAGCGTCGTTTTGATCCTACGCGTAGCCTCTTGCTTGCTGGTGAGTTCTCCAAACAATGATCAAGTATCTAGGCATAAATACTATTAATTATGTAAAAAATTGATTGCTATAATCCCAACTTAACGCTTTTCATACGCTCCTCTGAATATCCCGTTTGAATTTCAGAGATGATGAATCATACGCTGATTCACTTAAACAAATATCCGCTTCCTGACTGTCATGGTCAACATTTGTAGAGCAGAGCATTGTCCAAGAACCCGTTGTATTTGATCATTTTCTCGGTGAATCTGCAATTAAACACTTTACTCTTCGTTAGATTTAAGTATCCTATTATAACCTAGAAATGGTTGCTGAATAAGAAATAACCAAAATGGAGGTTGGAAATGAAATGCTAATCTTTATAACATCAACAAAATACAATACTCGCCTGCGACGTGAATAGGTAAACCACTGCTAGTGGTGAACTACTTAGACAGTATATTACCCCCTCCCCCACACTAAATAATCGGTTTTCATCTCTCTCTGCTCGGACATTATTGTGGACTGGAAAATATGTACAGCGAATAAAATCACAAGCATAAAAGACGGAATGCTATATACTAAATATATTATCCTCAGATGTTGATTGTATTCAGGCTTAGAAGCCAATCCTTCTACTTACAAAGGGAAGGCTTGATGGACTTATATATATATATATATATATATATATATATATACAGGGTGTGCATGACAATTTCACATCGTTTTGCAGGTCAATAATTTTGGCAATTCTTGTTGAAATAACCTCAAATTTTCACAGAATGTATAGAAACAGATCAAGACATTATATTTAATATTTTGTTTTGTTGTTTTCAGGTTGAGCCATGCCATTCACTCCCAAAGAGAAATCATTTTGCGTCTTGGAATATAGTCACACACAGTCAGTCTAGACTGTGCAGCGCGCCTTCAATGCAAAATTTGGAAAAACTTCGAAAACTGGCAAACAAATTTGGACTTGGTACCAAATATTTAAAGAGGGAGGCTGCTTATGCAGGTCTAAAGAATCTGGTAGACCATTATCAACATCAACGTGTTTGACTTAACTACCGACTTCACGTGTGCCGTGTCACAGGCGGTGCACATAATTAAACACTTATGAAATCGGTCCCATAATAAACTTATGATGTTCAACATCTAAACTGTTCAATTTCATCGAGCTACACTTAGTAGTTTTCAAGATAATTACTTTTAAAATGATGTCAAATTTTGGGAACACTCTGTATATATATATATATATATATATATATATATATATATATATATATATCATTAGCAGACAGTACTGTTTAGCTGTATCACAGCTCCTCAGTAAAACTAGACATCCGAATGCTTTAAGCCAGGACCGAAACCCGCTTAATACACACACACACACACACACATATATATATATATATATATATATATATATATATATATATATATATATGAAGAAATTTTGAAAAAACAAACAAAAATCCTTAAATGTAGTTAAAATGAAAGAAATGTCGACGTCTGACGTTTCGGTTTAATAAACCTTTTTCAAGACAATATTCATCAAAAAAAGGTTTATTAAACCGAAACGTCAGAATCGACATTTTTTTCATTTTAACTACATTTAAGGATTTTTTTGTTTTTCAAAATTCTTCATTCTGTCGGATTTATATCCATTTACACTTGCTTTATATATATATATATATATATATATATATATATATATATATACACACACACATATATATATATATATATATATGTAGTTTTCTAAGACCTTTAGATGTAAAGTAGTGAGTTAGTTACAGGACAGAGCTCACTGCTATATTCCCAGGGATTAATAAACAATTAAAACTCTCTCTCTCTCTCTCTCTCTCTCTCTCTCTCTCTCTCTCTCTCTCTCTCTCTCTCTCTCTCTCTCTCTCTCTCTCTCTCTCACAGCCTTTTTGTTTCTTGATATTACTAATTTGCGGTAATGTAATTTTTTTTTAAATTCTTCTCTGACGTCTTTAATGCCCGTTTGGGTAGCAGTCAGCAAAATTATTAATTTAGTTATTATTTTCAGAGTATATGCTCACCCCCAAGTAATGGAGTCTTTTGTAAAGGTTCGATCCTCACTTTGTGCTCCAAGTTATCGACTTTGCACCACATCTACAGCCTTGTGCAAATGAATTGAAAAAACCACTTTAGTTTCCTTTCTTTCACCATACGGACAGTTTTAGACCCTCTGAAGTGACAGTGTGTAATCTATTTCTATTTTTTCCTCAGTTTGAGTGATTTGCAGTGGTTTGCAGTAATATAAATCTATTTTTGAAGTGTATGATGAAATTCGTTTAGCCTTGAAAAATATTGCGTCGTCCCTGATTGCATCAGATTTTTATCACGCTTTAACACTGTCGTTTCGAGTGTCGATTAGTTGTCTTATGGCCATTGTCTGAGATGGACATTACTCCAAGGAAGTGTACGAAAATTGCAACGCCGCACGAATACACTAGCAAACCTTACCAGTGAGCAAATCAAAGTACTATCAAATACTGGCTCAGAAGCATTCCTCATTTAAATCCAGTCAAGAATCTGTGGTCAATCTTCAAGGAACGACTTTGTGGAATGGACATACGAAGTACTAACATGTGTATTGGGTTATGTCTCATTGGAAAATATGAAAAAAAGTAAATAATAACGGAATTATTCGTTTTGTCTCAATTAATTTGCACAAGGGGGGGGGGGGCTATGGTTTGTAAATCCCTTATAAACATAAATGTATCCTGAAAGATTTGCCAACTTCTATTGTTAAGAATTAATTTAAATTTTGAAAAGATTGTCTCGCAAGAATTAAATCTGGTATACGTATCGTGTTTATCTCTATTTGAGATTACCTACTTTCAAAGTCAGGTTGATTTTGTGAGTCAAACGTAAGAAGATCGTACGCCATTCCAACATCAGGGTGGAGGATATCCCTCACTTTGGTCATTGTATCTAAGCGAGCAACGTGGATCCCATTTCTCTCTGTACTGAAATCCGTCCATAAAAGATAATCCTGAAAAATACAATATGGTTGACACCATAAGAATTAAAGGGGACATAACTCTTTCAAGAAACAATTATTTCTTATGAAAATCACTACATAAAAATAAAGGTAATTTATTTCGCTACACAAATGTCTCCTTTAGTTTTTCGTTAACAATCATAACTTTTATTATCTCTACAATAGTTTTTTAAAAAAATCAATATACTGCTAAACGATAGCAAAGAAAACAGTAGATGAAATTATCGAAGTTAAGCAACGTTGAGTCTAGTCAGTACCTAAATGGGTAACCGCATAGGAATACCAGCTACTCTAAGATTGGATGTGCGGTTGGTATCATATGGCCATATCACGTTGAAACACCGGGTCTCGTATTATCACCGAAGTTAAGCAACGTTGAGCTTGGTCAGTACCTAGATGGATGGCCGCTTGGGCATTACAGGTTCTGTAAACTTGGATATGCGATTAGTATGAGGGCATATCATGTTGAAACACCGGTTCGCTTAAGATCACCGAAGTTAAGCAACGTCGAGCTTTGATGGGTGACCGCATGGTAATACCGGCTACTTAGTATCATACGGCCATATCACGTTGAAACACTGTATGATCATTGAAGTTAAGAAACGATGAGGCTGGTCAGTCACTAGACCGAAATCTATGTGCTGTAAGCTTGGATGTGTGGGTGGTGTAGTGTGTAACAGCTCGGAATCGAATCGGATTTCAATTCCACGCGGCTTTGTTATATTCACTTATGCGCAAATACTCTTGGAAAAGCTATGAATCCACCTCTTCCTCCTACAGCTATGGTTAATTAGTAGGTCTTGTTTTTTTTTGTTTTTTTTGTTTTTTTTGGGGGGGGGGTCTTTGGGTTTTTTTGTTATTTTAAACCGTTATTATCGCAAGCAAGGCAGTAAAACGCAAAGAGTTGCAGGCTGTAGAAGAATTACGAACAGACACATTAGTAATGAGCAGAAAGCGAAAAGAGTAATCAGGAGGACAGTAGATAGCGATTAACACGACATTTCAGTTTTTGCAGATTAAAGTTGACTGGAAAGCATAGAGCCGGAAGGGAGTTCCACAAGCGAGAAGTACGAGAAAAGAAACTATTAGCATAGAACTTACGGTTACATCCAACCAGCTCAACTGTAAATTGATGACATATCGACACCAGTCTAGTACTGCGCTTAAATTCATAAAAGTCTAGGTAACATAGCGAAGAGCTCATTCGAACAATTTCTGCGAAAATATTTATAAAAAAAATAAGGGACAGAGAGGCAACCTTATTGTGGTCGGGTAAGTGACTGGAGCCGAGCCGCCAGATCAGGACCAAATAATATTGGGTTCTAGGTAAATTGCTCGAAATCAATTGTTCGACAGTAAATTGCTCAAAATCATTTGCTCGACAGTAAATTGCTCGAAAAATAATTTCTGGAACTATCAATTGCTCCAAAGGCAGATTGCTCGAAGTAATTTTGAATCTCGAAGCACCACGTAAACTGCGCCGTCTCACGACACGTCAACGGAGCTGGATATAAAAGGAGCCACAACACTCAAATTTAGCAGTCCTGATATTTTTTCTATATTTGTTTTCTATTCCTATTTCAGTAATTTTGGAGACCTCGAACCCTAGTGATGGACATAACTTTTGTTGAGAGCTAAAAAGGAAAGAAGAAGTTATGTTTGGATGGATATCTATATATTAAGGACAAAACAGTGAACAATAAGATTTACTGGAAATGTGAAATGTGCAAAAAAATGCTTAGCACGTGTTTTATTTTTTTTAACAACAGGTTTCGAGCAAACTGCCTTTCGAGAAATAAAATAAGACCTGCTATATAAATGTACTCGTTGTTTAATTTTAACTGTTCAGTTAACAACAATAAAGTTGTATTATTTTATATAGAAACAATGTAGTTTATTTTTTTTATTTTTTATAACCACAGATTTCGAGCAAACTGCCTTTCGAGCAATTGATAGTTCGAGAAATCATTTTTCGAGCAATTGATAGTTCGAGCAATTTACCGGATACGATAATATTGCAGATTTTTCTTTGGATTTTATCAAGGAACTCGAGGCTAGTAAATCATTAGTAAATCTAAAAATAAATATCAATAACAAAAACAAAGTTTAGTATAAGGCCACAACGTCACTATGATAGGTGTTACGGCTGAGATTTCTATAACCAGTAGTTTTATCGGGTAGAGTTGCCCGTCCCACTTCTAATCTAATTTGCGATAAAGTAGTCCTTCGGCTAGAGTGGTTGACAGCCATAATTACAGACTTTATTCTGCGCTGCTATTAGCTACCAGCTGGGGTGTGGAGAAGTGGTAGACTTATACCTTTCTAAGAGTATTTGTGCAAAAGCGAATGCAGAGACCTCTAGGATTTGAACTCGACACTCCAATTCCACTTTCAGCGCCGATAAGCGCTACGATAAGAGTACACCAAAGATGAAATATAAACTAATCACAACTGAAATGACTTTATGTGAGATATTCAGACATCCTCTTAAGACGATTACAAAGTTATCATAAATTTATAGTATATGGAATTGTCTCCCTTGAACTTGAAACTATAGATGGTAGGATCTCATCATCCGCGGAATCGCCGGTTTTCGCTTATACGCGGTTGGCCTACATTTCTGTGTTCATTTATTAAACTACATCCACTTTGTAAAATATATTTCAAATTAATAAAATATTAAATAAATATTTTTAAAAAGACAATTTTTTGATAACAAAATGTTCTCTGAGCAAGATATCCTGACAGAGTCAATCCGTTTTGATTCTCCTAGACAGGTTGCCTTCCATGGTTAGACAACTTAGTCAGCTTTGCTATTTCACCTACAGGTAGAGAAGTAGAATGTCGTTCACAAGGGCGTATGTGCGAAAGAGAATGCAAAAGGCCAGTCGGGAATTTGAACTCAGCTCGCTGGAATCCCTTTCGGTGTCGCGTAGGTGGTGAAAAAAAAGTTTGAATCCTTAGAAAAAAATACTGAACTGTTACTTGACATCTGTTCTTCTTTTTTTGGAGAATGTTGGACGATTTCCTCAAAGATGAAGAAGAGACTCGAGGCGACGGAGATGTGGTTCTACAGAAGGATGCTAAGGATATCGTGGGCCGAGTATGTGAGCAATGATGAGATTTTAGAGAGATTACAGACAAGGAGAAGGCTTCTACTTAACATCAGAAAGAGGCAGCTAAAGTTTCTGGGACACATAATGAGGAAGGAAGGCCTGGAGAATCCGATACTCACGGGTCAAACAGCGGGAAAGAGAAACAAGCAAAAGCAGTGCGTGACATATCTGACGAGTTTGAGCAGATGGATGACAGAACATAGTCTGGGGGAGGAAGCAAAGGGAAGGGGCTTGCTGAGAGCGGTAAAGGATAGAGGGAGGTGGAGAGCCATGATCGCCTACGCCCTGAAAGGACGTGGCACATAAAAAAGAAAGAAAGAATGGAGACTGCAAAAAATAGGTATGTCGGTGTTGTTCGGAGTCCTAAGAAGTTGAGTTTAGTGTCCTCGTTTTACGAGTAATGTAGATGCCAGAAGAGCGCAACGAATCTGATTGGTTAGAAAATATATATCTTCTGTGCTGAAAAATGATTGGCTAGAATGATGACACGTTTGCATCCACTTAGAATTATATTCTTTTAGACATCGTTACTTAATGCCGACTGCGTGATTTGGAACTTTCCTATAGAGGTATTCTTAAAGTTTAAAATAACCATTTACCTGTTGAGGTATTCTTAAAGTTTAAAATAACTACTTACCTGTAGAGGTTTTCTTAAAGTTTAAAATAACCATTTACCTGTTGAGGTATTCTTAAAGTATAAAATAACAATTTACCTGTTGACGTATTCTTAAAGTTTAAAATAACCATTTACCTGTTGAGGTATTCTTAAAGTTTAAAATAACCATTTACCTGTTGAGGTATTCTTAAAGTTTAAAATAACTACTTACCTGAAAAATGCTGATACCAAATATTGATTCTTTTGCGTGAGAAGGCTTTGGAAAAACAATTTTGATAGTTTTTTGATCGAAGTCATATGAAGATACAACACCTAATAAGGTATCTGCCCAATATAACCTACAAAAAAAAATGAATGAAAAAAAAAAAGGAGTAATAAATAAATGACATTATCGTAGAATTCAAGGAGAATGTAACTCGCGGAACACGTTCTTCTTTCTGATCTAAATATAGTCCGAAGAGACCTGCTTAAATTAACCGGCAACAGAAAGGTGTGATATTATTCCTTTTATTTTAGATATCTATAAGTCTACCATTCGTCCATGCTTAGAATATTGCTGCCACATATGGTCCGGTGCCCCTGCTGTTTAACTTGATCTCCTTGATACGATCCAAAGAAGAATCAGCAATATTATTAGTCCTGATCTGGCAGCTCGACTTCAGTTATTTTCCCATCACCGTAAGGATGTTTCTCAGTGTCTTTTTTAATAAATAATTTCATCGTAATTCTTGGCTATGTTACCTAGACGTTTTTCATTTAAGCGCAGTACTAAACTGACGCCGAGGACTCATCAATTTACAGTTGAGCTGACTAGATATAATTATAGATTCTACGTTAACAGTTTCTTTTCTCGCACTTCTCACTTGTGGAACTCCTTTCCGGTTCCATGTTTTCCAGCTAATTTTAATCTGAAAAAATTTAAATGCGATTTCAATCACTCTCTAATGTCCCCATGATTACTCTTTCCACTTCCCGTGCATTATTAATGTTTCTGTTCCTAATTCTTCCAACCCTGTAAACCCCTTGTGTGTTAGGGGCTTTACTGCCTTGCTTGGGGTGATACCGATTTAAAAAAAGAAAAAAGCGGTCTGCTTTTCAATCAATTCTCATCAAAGAGGATTATTAATACATTTTAAAATTTTAAACAATGAACCGAATTATAACTAAAAAGAACCGTCCCTTTGTAAGCAAGCGGCTTTCTTTAGTTGTGTGGCTTACGGCCATATCACGTATGGTCACCGAAGTTAAGCAACGTCGACCCTGATCAGTACATGAATGGTTATCCACTTGAGAATACCATGCGCTGTAAAGTTGGGATATGCGGATGATATGGATTACGGTCAAACAAAATCGAAACCAGATTGAAACATGATCGTCCGATAACCGAAGTTAAGCAACGTCGAGCCTGGTCAGTACTTAGATGGATGACCCCCAGCTATCAGCTCAATTGTAGATCCTTTGTCTGTAAAAATCGTCTCAAAAACAAAGTTCTTACAATCTAAAAATATTTTTAAATAACTTACAAAGCGTTGATAATCCGTAAAAAACACAATATTAATCATTCTTTTTACACTATTTACATTGTTCAGACTGTCGTCCTTATCTTTATTGTCATATTCATGACGCTTCGGCTACTGTACGCTCCGGCCTTCTTCAGGTGAAGAATTTCCTTGGAATTTCGAACCGAACCCCTTATTTATTCTACGTAGACTAAATAGATTAGTAAGGTAGATTGTTCTATTTCCACGTGTCATGCTTTTTCTGGGTTTCCGTTAATTCCCTTTTAGTAACTTAACTCTCCAAATTAATTCCCTTTAGTCACTGGTTTACTTCATCAACGCTTTTAACCACTGGGCCATGTGTTCTTTGGGACGTCAGTATATGAATTTTTAGACCTAAAATCTAATGTCTCAGTAATCTTTTTACCAGAGCTCATATTACAATTTTTGCTATTGTTGTTTTTTTTTCTTCCTTAACACTCCGTATTACTGGTTCCCATATTGTATTAATTTCTATGCTTAGCCGACTTAATAGATTTTTGTGGCCTAGCATGTGTGCTGATTCTTTAAGTTTTCGTATTTTCCAGTGATGTTCTCTGCTTATTATTTCAACTTCATCCCACATAGGGCGGTGATCTCCCTTTCCGTTCCTATATGGTCAACTATACCTGAATTTTCTATTTTACCTTGGGTTACGGCGTTACGATGCTCCTTATCTTAAGGGGCCAACCTGTTTTTTCTTTATGTTTCTTGCCACAGCTGCATGGGATGGCGTACACACAGTCCTTAGTCATCTTCTTTATGGGGGATCTTACTCGGAAGTTGTGCCTTTTCCGATAATCTCTTCACATAAAGAAGGCCGGAGTGTACAACGGCCAAAACGTTGTGAATATGACAATAAAGGCGTGGACAAGAGTCCGAACAAGGTAAATAATGTAAATAGTTACAATACTTCATCTCAGAAATATAGACACAGCCTGAAGAAGGCCGGAGTGTACAACGGCCGAAATGTTGTGAATGTGGCAATAAATATGAGGGCAGTAGTCCGAATAGTGTAAATCGGGTAAATAGTTACCATACCTCATCTCAGAAATATCGACACATCCTGAAGAATACCGGAGCGTACAACGGCTGAAACGTTGTAGACGTGGCAATAAAGACGAGGACAACAGTTCGAATAATGTAAAAAGTTACAATACCTCATCTCCGAAATATAGACAGATATCACTCATTATTTACTTTTTGAATTTATCCGGTGTTGCCCAAGTTGGATTACTGTTCATTTCTTGTGTGTGTTTCTTTTTGTTTTGTTTTGTTTTTTTCTGTAAAATGACAATTAAATTCTCCTTCTAAGCTGTTTTTACCTTGTTTTAAGAGTAACTCTGCTGTGTGCTTTAACATATTAAAATATACCAGCGACTTTCTCAGATGAGTGGATCGAAAATTGGCCACTTTAGAGGAATTATATCATCTTTTTCATTTGACAATTCCATGTCGTCGCTTCTTGGCGCTGTATTTAACTTGCGTACTGTTCACAAATTATTACCATCATTTTTTTTATATGCAAAATAGAACAAATGAAACAAAATATAACAATTTAATTCATAAAATTCTTTAATATACGTCTGTAAGAGAAACTAGAGAAAAAAAGTTTCATTAATAACAAAAACTGTTGTGTTAATATTTGTTAGTATTTTTTAGTACCAATGGCGGACAGGCCCATCGGGATCCCGGGAAATTTCCCGGTGGGCCCCAAAGTGATGGCCACTGATAATAACTGAAAAAAAATAAAAGTAGTAACTAAAAAAAAGATGTTGGGAAGATTTAAATAAGGATTCTTTGACACTATAACTTCTTTCGGTGATTATCCTCATTTCCTTGTGACTGGGGGCCCTTTTTACAAGTTTTCTGGATAGACATTTTTTCCCATTCCGCTACTGATTAGTATTGTAGAGATTTCATATGCAAATCAATTGGCGCATGGCTGGCTGGCTGGCTGGCTACAACGTTCGTTTTCTGACCATGAGTTGTTCGAATGTTATCATGGTCGATTTGTTCATCGAGGTGCCTTCTTTAGGTCATCAACCTCAGGGAGAGGATCCCAGTTCGCCGAAACTTTAGGAAGTGCCTGAAAACCATATTACCGTTTGACCCAAACCTGAAAACCATACACTGGCCGTGTTCAAGAAGCTGATTACGCCAAACTATGCTCCCTCTCCCAGAAACTGTAACTAAGATCCGCTCAGCTTAGTTGCGGTACAAACCAGAGATGTGCTCAGTGGATTGAGAAATCCTCTCTAATAGGGTTTGGCTTGCCCCGCCTTGACAGACCGGTGTACGCGGAAACGAGGGGTAGCCAGCCAGTTTCATTTTCAGATGGGGATGTTATAAATAGCTTTAAAAATGACTTACATGTCTTTTTTAAAATCCACAAATACATGTGATGGGTGACCAAGGCTGTTATTCGTGATGAGGGTCCGTCCTGAACCGTCTAAATAAGCCCATTCCACTTTCGGGTGATTACCAGAATCAGTCCAGATAAGGATGCTAAAATGAACAAAATAATTTCAAATAAATATATTTCCCAAAGATATATCTTAAAAATATTTAAATCTTAAAAACATAGAATCTAATTTTATCGAAACATTTATTAGAATAAAATTAGAATGAAACTGGACCATAATTAAACTTAAATAAATTATCCTTGTGTCATTTGTATTAAGATGGTGACATTTAAGATGGTGACATTTATTGTGATAATCTTCTATGTGCTGTGCCCCTCGAGGACGTTGGCGATCATGGCTCTCCACGATTTCCTGTCCTTTGTAGTTCTTAATAAATTTTGTCTTTTTGTTATCTCTCCTAAACTCTTTTCTGCCATCGATTTACACAAGCTCATTCTTCTTCCATGTATCGTTGTGACTTCAAGTCGTATGCGAGCATGGCTCTCCACAATTTCCTGTCCTTTGTAGATTTTGGGGGAAACGTATGAATCCAGCTCTTCTCCTCCCACCTATGGGTTAATTAGTAAGATTTTTATCACTAAACTATTATTATCTCAAAAAAAATCTTACAATCTAAAAATATTTTCTCGCTTTAAATAACCTGCAAAAGGTTGATAAGCCATAAAAACGAATCAATCAATGAAATACTAATAGATACAAAAGCATTTCATTTAGACTTATTTACATTCCTTGGAATATAAATATATAGAAACTACCATGACCACAAAATGAGGGATTCGTTTATATATTATTGTTATGTAGAATTGATCCCCCACTTTATATCCATATTATAATTTCTTGTTTGTTTATCAGATTCTGATTAGGTATGAATCCAACACTTCTCCTTTCAGCTATAGGTAAATTAGGAAGACTTGTATCAATAAATCATTTCTATCTAAAAAAAAAAAAATACTTACAATCTAAAAATATTTTCTGACTTTAAATAAGTGTTGATAAGCCGTAAAATGATCATCATTTAAGATAATTGACAGAACATCTCTCTCTCTCTCTCTCTCTCTCTCTCTCTCTCTCTCTCTCTCTCTCTCTCTCAAAATACCAAAAATCATGGAGTCTCCACGCATAACTTCCGTTAAAAAAAAAAGGAACGGTGAATAATAAAATAATTTTGTCCAATCAAAAAAATGACACAAAGAGACATTTAACCCTTGCCGACAGATAAAATGAAGTATCTGTTTGACTTCTTTTTTTTTTTCGTTTTTTTTTTTTTTTTTTTTAGACAAATTTATTTCCCGAGAAAAGCCGTGTATTTGTGCTCTGGAAGGGACAACTCAACACCGCTAACTCAACACCACCGACAACACCGCCGACTCAACACCACCGACTCAACACCACCGACTCAACACCACCGACTCAACACCGCCGACTGAGCGCCGAGACAACTCAGAATCTGACACAATTCAGGGCCCGAGACAACTCAGACATAAAAATATAGAATTTCAATTTACTTTATCAAAAAATAAATTACATTACGATTTACTTCATAAAAATACGATTTAATTCATAAAAAATAATTAAAAACAAGTGTGTTCCATTGAATTATTTTCATATATCAATTTACTTTATTAAAAAATAAGTTTACTTTATTAAAAATAACAACAAACAAAACAACTGGGTCATATTTTGCTTAATGCCTTTTCAAATGCATTATTTGGACAAAACTATTCATTAATGAAGGTTTTAATCCTTCATAAATTACTTTTATTTGGTTTTAAAATGTTTTTCTGCTGCTGAGTTATCTCGGCCCTGAGTTGTCGCAAAGGCTCAGTCGGCGATGTTCAGTCGGTGGCGTTGAGTCGGTGGTGTTGAGTTGTCCTGTACCTATCTGTTCTAGTTCATAATAATGATTTCTCTTTGAATTCCAGTACATACCAATGGAAGAAGATACAGATGAAGAAAAGACTTGGAGTGACAGAGATGTTGTTCTACCTACAAATGCTGAGAATGCCATGAATAGGTCCTCAGAAGAACAACAACAATAAGGAACATTCTGCTAACAATGAGAAAGAGACAACGGAAAAATCTGGGACAGATAATGAAAAAAGAAGGCTCGGAGAATTTAACACGCACCAAAACATTTTGTAAACATGTCAAAAAAGATAAAAATTATTAGTCATTTTCTTCGCGTCGTAACTTAGTTTCCCTGTGCCTTTTCTGTAAATGCTTTCATGGACATTGTTCCGATGAGCTTTCCAGTTTGCTACGTAGATTTATGAATTTAAGCGCAGTACTAGATTGGCGGTAAGGTCTCATCATTTTTATAGGTGAAATGGCTGGATGTAACCGTTCTCTCGTACTTCTCGCTTGTGGAACTCTCTCACAGTTTCTTGTTTCCCAGTCAATTTTGATCTTCAAAAACTTAAATGCAATGTCAATCGTTATCTTCTGTCTTCTTAATTCCTGTTCTTTTATTTTCCTCTCTTCTTAATAATGTTTTCTTTTTCTCATATTCTCTCACATTCAGTAACACCTTGTATCTTAGTGGCTTTATTGCCTTGCTTGTAGTGAAATGTTTTTTTTTTTAAAAAAAGCAGACAGAAGACAAGAAAAACAGAGGAAAGCGGTGAGGACCTTAACTGACAGGTTTGATCAAGTGACTAGAGAAACAAGTATGACAAACACAAAAATGGGTCACAAAGGGGCAAGCAACAATAAAAAGAAGGAAAGCTGTCGGGAACCATGGTCACCCCCGTCCTAAAGAGATATAGCACGTAAAGAAAGAAAGAGATGTTATGGTACGCTAAAAACAATAACAAATAAAGTCCACTTGTTTACCTTCTACCCGGATGAACAGCAATGCCAAGAGGATTTTCCAGGGCTTCGTCAATAAGAACTTGTTGATACATTCCATCTTCTCTGGCTACATTGATTGTCTTGTGAAGACTGTCCGTCCAATAGAGATTGGAAGACACCCAGTCTAACGCGATTCCTATTAAAAACAAAATGGATACACTTATGTTCTGCAGGTGGAAAATGTTTAGATTTTATCAGTTTGGCGAGAAATCTTTTGAATAATAATTATCCTTAAAAACTTTCCAGTTGCATTTTATTAACACTGGCTTCGTTACATTCGTTTCCATGCCTCAATACAATCATTTTGCTCAAGACAAGCGACGTTTATACACGGACTTGTAATTTTTTAAAATCTTTTTTATACTTCGATACAATTTTTAATCATTAAGACACACATATTATCGAAATATTGCTGAACGTTGTCACTGTGTCTTTTCTTTTCTTTTCTGAAATCACGCTCTTTTCTTATTTTCGAATAAATTCTCAATATTTTAATATTTATTCTCACAAGAAATGCTTTCAATAATAAGCAATATCATCAATCGATTGTAACAAATTAAAATTCATTAAATACAAATTATTATTATTTAATTGCAAACATTGAGTTAAAAATTGTCGTTGATAATAAATATTTCTTTCACACATAAATATTTTCCATCCTACAACCCCTTTCCCACAAACGAAATGTTATGAGCCTTTCTCTACTTTATCGCTATTTCCACGGTGTGTTTTCTGACGAGCTTTCTTCGTTGGTGGCACCAGGCCTCACCTTTGCAACAGAGATCCACCATGCTGCGTACACAAGGATGAATCATCCTCATTTCTCTTTGTATTCCATTAGTAAGGAGGAAGTTCTACTCGGATTGCTTCTTCCCAAGATCTTCTGCTTTGTTGAACAGACTCCAGCGAGGATTGTTTCCCAATCATTCAGTGTTGACCTGTTCAAGTCTAGCGTTGTTGTAGCATACCTACGGACGATAATAGGTATGTTCCCATTCATATAAATACAATAGTAAATACTGTATGTTGGTCTGCAGTCGGAGATTTGTCTCCATTTGTGCTGGTCAAATTCTCTGAGAGGATCCCCAAGCGAGGCTATGTCGAAGGGCAGAGTCTCATCTCGGGAAACAGCAACCCGACCCCGTTTTATACAGGCTCGGATACCCCACATTAAATTCGGCCTTGTGTCACATCTGACCGTGTGGGGCGGTTGGTAGATATCCTGCAGTTAGAGATTCATTGTGGAATTAATTTGACTCACTTCAAGAAGTTGAATACTTTTTCTACGCGCCGCTGGCGAATCTTATATGTGGTGTTCTTGTCCTAAGTATTAGCTTGCATTACCAACCTTCGTTTGATTATTCTATTGAATAACCTTCCCTACATTACAACAAGTGTTGACCGTTATCTTTCCTACATGGACCTATGAACTTCGCTTATTGCCCTTTCTTACGCATATCCAACAATATACAGTAAGCCTCTACATTGAATAGCTCTTGGGCCTTGTATTAGGTGAACCTTAGTATAAAAAGTATATCTCCTCCTTTAAAGATACCATCACTTATACAAATCTAATCACTTCATAGATAGCATTCATTGGGTGATTATAAGAGTTAAATCTATCAGAATTATCAAAACCTAAATCTATAAGAATTATCGGAGTTAAAGCTATAAGAATTGTGACTTATACTTGAATTAAAATTATTTATCCAGTACAAAATATGGTAATCTTTCTCCCTGAATTTCAGGGATGAGGAGTTATCCTTATTTACATGGAGACTATTGTCCTCATCTTTGTTGTTGCTATCACCATACGTTTCGGTCGTTTTGCTCTCCGGCATTCTTCAGGTATCCAAAATTCCCTGTAGGCTACCCGGATCGTCATATACTTGTTGAAAACCGGAGGTCCCAAGGCCGAAACGTTGCACCAACAACAACAAATATGAGGAAAATTAGTCTCCATATAAATATTGTAAATAACTATATTCTTTTAATAATATTTCTAGAATGCAAAATCTTTTTAATGATAGTTATACAGTCAAAGATATGATAATCTTTTAGGAATATTTATACAGTGAAAGATACAATTTTAATAAGACTTACAGTGCAAGATTCAATAATGTTTTAAGCAATATTTATATAGTGCAAGATATGATAATCATTTTAATAATAATTATACAGTGAAAGGAATGATAATCATTTTAATAAACCTTATATAGTGCAAGATTCGATAAGCTTTTTAATAATATTTATGCAGTGCAATTACAATATTTTTAATAATATTTATACAATGAAAGATACATATAATCTTTTTAGCATTATTTATAAAGTGTTAGGTACAATAATTCTTTTAATGAAATTTATATAGTGCAAGATTCGATAATCATTTTTGTAATATTTATATAGATAATATTTATATAGTGTAAGATAGTATGGTGATTTTTCTTAATATTTATGCAGATCTAAAAGCTAACATCTACTTACCTTGAACTATTCCGACCCCACCGACGATGTTCTCCAGGGGAGCATCATATTCCATTCGCACCCGGTTGATCCATTTATCTGTGTTGTTCGTCGAAAAATATAAAGTATCCGACTTTGCGTGCATACCAAGAGCCAAGTAGCCTTTGCTGTCCAATAAAAAACATTGGTTGTTTAAAGTGACATTGTTTATGTTCATATCAGCCAGATTGGCAGGGAAATGGCAGATTCCCTCATGGATAGAATAGACATGATATGGTTGCCGGAATTGGGAGTATTCTGAAAATTAAGAAAAAAAAAACATATATCCTTTAAGAAATTGTCTTTTATTAGGTTGAGGCAAATATGAACAAAATTCATTAAAAGTTAAAGCATCATTTTGCAGCGATCAAAATAGTTTTCGTAGCTTTTTATGAACCTACACCGCTCTCCAGTCAACGGACATATTCACATTTCTTCTTCTTCTTCTTCCTCTTCTTCTTCTTCTTCTCTTTTTTTCTTCTTCTTCATCTTTCTCTTCTTTTCTTCTTCTTCTTTCTCTTCTTCTTTCCCTTCTTTTTCTTCCGCTTCTCCTTCTTTCTCTTTTTCTTCTTTTTTCTTCTTTTTCTTTTTTTCTTCCTCTACTTCTTCTTTTTCTTCTTCCGCGTCCCTTGAAGAGGTTGGCTATCATATCCCCACCTCCCCCTGTTCTGCCATCCATTTATACAAACTGGTTAGTTAGGTAACTTCGTGTTCCCCTCTGTACCTCTTGCCTTCAATATGTCCTGTGAGTGTTAAATTCTCCAAGCCCCCTTTCTTCATTATGTGCCTTAGAAATTCCAGCTGTCTCTTTTGACACTAAGTATGTGTTCTTTTTGGTTCTATTTTTCCTATAACCATACTGATTTTTTACTGTTTGATTAAAGATTTCTAAAGAATGTGTCAAAGGTATGACCTGGTTTCAAGACTGTAAATGAGCGCGCATCCTGTCGCAATATCCGACCACCATCCTCTTTAGGGTCATCATCAAAAAACCCTTTGAGGCTATTGTCAACAAGAATGTTGTCAATTACCTCAATACGAAAACTTCCTGAGCGACAAGCAGTACGGATTTCGACCGGCTCGGTCCACTGCTGATGTCCTGTCATTACGCTCAGAATCAGCGCGGTATTAGAAAATAAATATATCACGAGGACGATCGTCTCAGATATATGGAAGCCCTTTGATAAGGTGTGGCAAGGAAGGGTGCTCTCCAGCTCTGAAATCACCGGAAGACTTTACTTAATTATCAAGTCCTTCCCAAAATGTAGGACCATTAATATCGTCGTTAATCGCCAGCTTCCCGATTCCCATGAGATCAACGCAAGAGTCCACCAAAGCTCGCCTGTCGATCTAACCCTTTATGTTAATGATCTGCCTATGAGCATACACCGATATTTAGTGACTACCTATGCAGTTGATACAGTGGCATATGGACGCACCTCCAAATGTCTACATGACCGAGGTTTCTTGGGCTAATAAAGATGGCTTCTGAAAGTGTTAGGGGTAGATCGAAACAGCGAATAAACTACTTAACGAGCTTGTGTAACCGGGTGGCAGAACAAGAAATAAAATAGATAATACTACAACTATTCATATTAGCAACGAAAGTTTGGACGTTGTGGAGAGTCACTATCATCCACGTCCTGAAGGGACATGGCACACAAAAGAACAACATCCTAACGTACACTATTCAATGAGAATAAGATATAACGCTAAAAAGGAATATATATGCAGAACCGGGCAGGAAGCTGTGGAGAGTCATAATCGTCCACGTCCTGAAGAGAGACGGCACATAAACGAACAACATTTTAACGTAAACAATTGAATGGGAATAAGGTATAACACTAAAAGTTAATATATATGCAAAACCGGATAGGAAGTTGTGGAGAGTCATGATCACCCACGACATAAATAAAGGGACACGGTACATAAACAAAGAGCATTTTAACGTAAACCATTCAATGTGAATAAGGTATAATGCCATAATGGAATATATGCAAAATCGGATAGGAAATTGTGGAGAGTTATGATCGCCCATGTCCTGAAGGGACACGGCATATTAACGAACAATATTTTAACGTAAATTATTCAATGGGAATAAAGTCTAATGCTAAAATGGAATATATGCAAAATCGGATAAGAAGTTGTGGAAAGTCATGATCGCCCACATCCTGAAGGGACACGACACACAAACGAACAACATCCTAATGTAAAATATTCAATGGGAATTTAGATATAATGCTAAAAGGCAATACATATGAAACCTCTATAATGCTTCCCAACATCCCGAAATGTAAGAGTTAAGCTAGAATTGATTTTTACGGCTTATCAACCCGTTGTTGGTTATTTAAAACTGAAACATATGTTGGATTATAAGAATAAATCTATTCTTTGCTGGTGAATATTGCATTAACTTTTTTTTTTCTTTCGAGATAATGATTTTTCTAAATACAGTTCCTACTATTTAACCTTCATGTGGGGGGTAGACGAAATAGATTCATATTTTTCACAAGTGCGTAGGTTAATACAATGAACTCAGCTGGAATTCGAACTTGACATTTTGTCTTCTCATTCCGAGTCGCTATCATTACACCATCCACACATCCAAGCAATGAAGTATGACAAATTGGAAGAGAATTCATTCTTCTTTAGAATTATTGTCTTTTGAAAAGTCCTGGAAAAGCAAGTGCTTTATGTATTTAAATTCTTCAGAATCCAAAGAAGAATCTGCAAAGAAATCAATCCTGGCCTGACATCTCGACTTCAGTTATTTTCTCACACCGGTGACATGGTGTTATGGAGTGGTTTCACAGTGGAGGCTTGTATTGGTACCAAGTCGGTCCTAAACACTTGATATAATAGGTAATGACGCAGAGTAAATCTAGTTGTGGTGGCTGATACTTTAATATCCGACTAACGGTCGTCCGGCATCTACTGACTGACCAACTCACTGAGCGACTTAGCGACTGACTTGTTACTCTTACTACTCCTACTTATTATGGGTGGGAGAGTCTATTAACTATAGAATAGGTGTGTTACACTATAACACATGGCTTCCCTACGACTTTTCTATAAATATTTTCATGGCAATTGTTCTGATGAGCTCAACTTCTTGAAATATCGACAGCATGAACTTAAACGTACTACTAGATTGGCAATTAGGGCTCTTTTTCCGCTTAATTAGCTAGATTTAACCGTACGTTCTGTTCTAATTTAATAGGATTTTTCTCTTGAATTCTTGCCTCTGGAACTCTCTTACAATTTTTCGCTTCTCTGCTACTTACAAACTTGAAAAATTTTAATGCAACACCATCTTCTGTCTTCCTGAAACCTGTTCTTTTATTGTCCTTTCTCCTCACTAAAGTTTTCTCATTCTCTTTCACTCCCAGTAACCCCTTGCGTCTTAATAGCATTATCGCCATCTTCTGTCTTCCTGAAACCTGTTCTTTTATTGTCCTTTCTCCTCACTAAAGTCTTCTCATTCCCTTTCACTCCCAGTAACCCCTTGCGTCTTAATAGCATTATCGCCATCTTCTGTCTTCCTGAAACCTGTTCTTTTATTGTCCTTTCTCCTCACTAAAGTCTTCTCATTCCCTTTCACTCCCAGTAACCCCTTGCGTCTTAATAGCATTATCGTCATCTTCTGTCTTCCTGAAACCTGTTCTTTTATTGTCCTTTCTCCTCACTAAAGTTTTCTCATTCTCTTTCACTCCCAGTAACCCCTTGCGTCTTAATAGCATTATCGTCATCTTCTGTCTTCCTGAAACCTGTTCTTTTATTGTCCTTACTAAAGTCTTTTCATTCTCTTTCATTCTCAGTAATCCCTAGCGTCTTAATGTCATTTTTCGTTTCCTTTATGATAATGGTGTTGATGACTACATTCACCGCCAACATGCAGGTTCAGGACTAGAAGTTTCCACTTTCGCTAAAACCTGCTCCCATCATCCATTCTTTATTGCCGTTTGGCTATGTAAGAGTTGGGTTGGAGGTGAAAGAAAATCAGAGCAGAAGAAAATGCCAATGGCGTACATTTGTTTAGGATGCCCCTCAACTGGCCAGGAAGTTAGACACAAACTTTTCATAACCCTTCCGCTGCTGCATATATGGAATTTGACATGCAGAATCCAGTTCTAAAACTGTATGGACTGATTCTGACTCGGTTTTAATTTCGAGTCGCACCTTCTGTAACATGTCCGTTATGCGTAGCCCTGTTTATCCGCTTGTTCAACCGTTAAGATTTATTTTAAGCATCATCCACTTGTTCCACCATCGGGTTATATATATATATATATATATATATATGTGTGTGTGTGTGTGTGTGTTTGTGTGTGTGTGTGTGTGTGTGTGTGTAACACTTTCTGGTTTCTGATAAGTTATTTTATTTCCCCGTTTATCCTCAAAAAACCCAACTCATTTTTTGTCTTTCATTCTCACCTGAAGAAGTCGACATCAAGAGACGTTCACCGAAACGTGTCGTTTATAGTTTTTTTTTTTTCACTTTTCTCATCATCAATATATTCATTGCCAGATAGAAGATTAGATATTACATAGCAATTCACCACTCCTTCTTTGTTTCTAAAAACATTTTTCCATCTCGTAACACTTTGCTTAGTTTATGAAAGGCATAAGTAGAATGTCCAGCATTCATATTTATATAGGATATTAGATATTACATAGCAGTTCAGCACTCTTTTCATTGCTTCAAACGACATTTTTCTATCTTGTAATACTTTGCTTAGTTTCTCGTGGACATCTTATACGTCTTTAGGTTCCTGTGTCGTCTTCTGTTAATACAAAACCGGGAAAGTTAAATTTATGGACCTGCTCGATTTTGATGTCTCCATTACGAAGCGTACAACTTGTTATGCTATGCTAGGCTTTGAAAACCTCTTTAGTAGGACTTGCATAGAATTAAATAATATATGAGAGCCGCTAATAAAGAAAGACAGACAAAACATGAGAGGCAGCAACAGTTGCAGCCTAATCAGCAGCCAAAGTTTGGTTTAAGGCACTAAGTTTACTCCAATAAATTGTCCTACGTGTAAAAGCGTTGGTTTATGAATGTATTGACTCAGCAGAAAAAGGCAAGCAATAACTGAACAGAACTAAATAAAAATATGAACTAGACGATATATTCGTCGACATGAGCAGTGGAACGAGAACAGTCTACTCCCTGTAGATTAAATAAAGAGTTCAGTTCAGAATTCCCTGTAGGTTACCCAGATCGGTCGATATACACTTAGCACAATCAAGTATGACCTAGCAGTACTATCGGGTTCACAAGTAGTTGGTCTTCGACGATGGAATCGCGATTGGCTCGCCATTTCGTGTGACCTGGCTCAGGATCGGCGAGCGTGGGCAGCGATGGTCCGTGATGCTGTACTTGCTCGGGAGGAAGCTGATTCAACCTGACCAGGGTGAAAACCGATACAAGTCAAGTCAAAGTCGATATACACTTACAGAAGGCCGGAGGACACAACGCCGAAATGTTGTTATAATAACAACAAAGATGAAAAGAATAGTCCGAATATAATGTAAAAATAATGTAAATGATCATCTTCTCACAATCAATAGTCCTTTCCTCATGCTTTCCATTCCTACACTATTTTTTTATATTCTTAGGATATTCTAAAGTTTAAAATTAACAAATTGAAAAATTACCTGTACAATTTTTATGGTCGTCATTTAATTTATACCCTTCACTGCAGTGACAGGCAGGACCCTTGATCGGATCATGAATGCAAAAATGCTCGCACTGCAGGGCTTCACACATATCTAAAAAGCAAAAGAAAAAAGAAAATTAAATTTTAAGGTTAAATCGTTTCTTTTGTAAATATTAAACCGAGTTATAAATAATTACCGTTTTTGAAACAATTTTAATAACAAATACATCGACTTTACTAACCATACGTAACAATTAATAGTTGCCACAATTGCTTGTCATTTGTACCCCCTAGAAAAGTTTTTTTTTTCTATCTCCCCTAATCATTATTCTGCCAATCATTTACACAAGCTAGTTAGGTCGGTCATGTTCAGCTTATCTCTGTCCTTCTTGTTTTCAATTTGTCCTGTGAGTGTCAAATTTTCCAAGTCGCTGTCCTCATTATATACCCTAGAAATTGTAACTGTCTCTTTCTGATTGTTAAGGACAACGGTTCTTTTTGTTTCCATTTTCTCTAAAACTTCGGCATTTCTCACATGTTCAATCCATCGTATTCTCAGCATCCTTCTGTAGAACCATATTTCTGTTGCTGAAGTATCTTCTTCAACTGTAATAAGATCGTCCAGCATTCACTGCTATATAGGACGATCGATATCACATAAAAATTCAGTACTTGTTCACTATTTCTAATTTCCTGTTTCTTTATACTTTGCTTAGCTTTTGGAAAGCATAGTTCGCTATTCCAACGCATCTTCGGATTTCGGTGTCACAGTTTACGTCCTCTGTTAAAATATTTGCAATATATTTAAATTTTTTGTTCTTGCTCGATTTTGGTATCTTCAGAAGATAGAATCTAAGGTATGTCAGCGAAAGAAATAGCAATTTACAAATTGTAATATTAAATTACTAATGAACTAATCTAACAACATTGCATAAATAGCCTAAATATTATCTATAGAACTAAAACAATAAACAATTTATTTCAAGCCAAAACATACAGCCATGATGACAGTTGACGACAACCGAAAGCGCTCAACAAAACAAAGACTAGGGTCTCTTATCAACAACCCAAATAAAAAAAAAAACGAGAAAGGCAGAAAAAATATAAAAAAAATATTATGGTTCCGTAGTCTTTAATAACACATGCCTCAATATATATATATATATATAAAGGAAATATGTTGTAGTGGTTCCAACGAGAGAAAAGTATGTATATTAAAAAAGAGGTGCCGCAAACGTTTTTGGTTGTAATGTGGATTTATTGAAAAAAATATTATACTTTGTTTTACATAATTTCGACACGTGTTTCTGGTCTGGTCTCGCAACCGTCTTCAGGTGAAAGTGGAGATTTTTCATATTATTAAAAAATAATTAATTTTTCTTCATGTTCAAAGAATATTCTCGATATGAGACATTCTGTTTTTCTTCAATCCGAATTTTGAACATGAAGAAAATTAATATTTTAATAATATGTAAAATTCACTTTCACCTGAAGACGGTTGGTGAGACCAGACCAGAAACATTTCGTGAAATTATGAAAGTATAATATTTTTTTCAATAAATCCACATTACAACCAAAAAACGTTTGCGGCACTTCTTTTTTTTTAATATATATATATATATATATATATATATATATATATATATATATATATATATATGTTATGTTTTGTGTGGTCATTTGATTTATTATTTTTCACATTTCACTGTGTCGGGCTAAACAATTTTTCTTGCTAGAATCCATCTTACATATAAGTCTATAATTCATCCTTGGTTTGGCTATTGCTGCCCTATCAGTAGCCTGCGATATATTTAGACATTCTTGATAAAATGTAAAAAAGAATCTGCAATATTATCGGTCCTGACCTGGCATCTTCAGTCCCTTTCCCTACCGCCGTAATGTAGCTTCCCTGTGCCTTTTCTATAAATAATTTCAGGATAATTGTTCCGACGAACTCTCTCTATGGTACCTAGACATTATGAATTTAAGCGCAGAACTAGATTGGCGGCTAGGTCTCATTATTTTACAGTTGAAATGTAATATAACCGTAAATTGTATGCTATCGCACTTCTCGCTTATGGAACTCTCTTCCGGCTTCTTGATTTCCTGTCAACGTTGAAATTTAAATGCAATGTCAATCATTAACTTTTTGTATTCTTAATTCTTATTCTTTTATTGTTTTCTCTCCTCAATAGTATATTTCAGTCATATTCCCTAACAGTCAGTAACCCCACTTGCGTCTTAGTGGCTTCATTGTCTTGCTTGGCGTTAAAAATATTAATATGCAATTAATTTAATAGATAATTGGTTATTTACCAGAATTTCCAGGCTGTGTAGATTTATCAAACATGATAATCCCATAGGGCATGTTACCCAGGTGATAATTTACTAAACTTTTTCCACTCACTTTGTTATAAACTTTCAAGTGACCTTCACTCTGTTCTGTCACGAACAGATAATTCTGAAAATAAAATAAAAAAAAAGATTAAGCTATATACAACTATAATAACATGAATTGCTGAGAATTCTAAATATACAATATAGGTGTGATGGAAATTACTGCTACCGCAGATTAAACAGACTTACTACGACCAAAGCTAATTAAAATCCAATAATGTGTTTCATTGTTCAGGCAATACGAGGCATGTTCGCTCAGAGTAGCGTTGGATAATTTTTTTTTTTTTTTTGTTACCACAATGACAAGAATTTTTTTTTACTTTTAGAAGCTTGGTTAATAACTAACGAACGTGTAGGATCTTCCACAAGAAACCAGCCTTACCTCTTTTTAGGAAATGAACTCTTCCTATCTGGTAAGTAACATCCTACTTTCACATAATTATAACAAGTATTCATTGGTCAATGAAACCGCTTGCACGCGACCAATCTGTTTTTCCCGCGTTCTCCGTTTGAGCCTCCCACGTGGTACACGACCATTATATAAACCCAACACGTGTGAACTCTCTGAGTAGCTTTCTTTTCATTCATCTCTCTCGCACGTCTCATACCTTGCTACCAAATGCCAAGATGTAACCTTCACCAACTTCCGTCTTAGTCATTGCTGACCAGACGTTAAAGACAATTACCAATATTCACGAACTTTGAAATCACTCCTGAACTTTTATCAACTTTAGAACTCACCATTCCAAACTTTATTCTTCTAAATTACAAGTTCAATATTACTTCTTCTTAATATGAACTCCGGTACAAATATTACCAAGTTAAAGGGACACAACCCTGTCCTACCTTTTCAGTTCGCATGCATGTACATCAAACATTAATAAATTTAATTGTTATGTTTTGGAATCATTCAGTTCAGTTTTGTATTTTATTCTATGTGCTATTTACGTCAAGTATAAATTGCATTGCTTTCACGCATTGTCCTTAATCTCATCTTTCTTAGCCAAAGTTAAATATCGGTAACTCTATATCGACATATATTGATGACCGCGACGTTCGTCGTTCAACGTTCACAACAACAATGGTAATACAGCCATCACATATATTGGTGATTCCGTCGGAATTAAATAACAATGGTAAGATAAACCACTACAAACGTACAATGATAACATTGATATACAATGATAGCCTGTGTAGTGATAACAAATGCTGCGCCGCCACCAACATCTAAGTCATGATATTTTGGATGCAGATCCGTGGTCTCACGAGACCAACGGATGACACACACAAATACCAAGGCCATACGTAGCCTAGATTCTTTTCAACATGCTGTCTCGGAACAGTAAATTCACTTCTTACGATAGAAGAATTCAAATTAGTTTCGCGAAGTGCGAAAAATATCTGGAGAACGATTCAAAACAAAAAGTTCTACACTACAGAAATTTGGAACAATGGCAAGGTTTGGTTTGTTTTACGGCATATCAACACCTCTATGGGTTATTTAATGCCGGCAAGATTTTTTATTGCTGGTAATATTATTTTTCCAAAATGTACTGCTGGTAATATTTTTTTCTTCAAAAATTCATTGCTGGTATTAAAATCTATTTTTACACATTTCTAGAGTTTTGAACCAAGTTTGAGGGTTAACTATTTGTAGATTGCTGAGACCCTCACAGGTGCTACCACCCGGGTCAGAGTGGACCTGGAACACTAACAATTAAGAGGTGATTCCACGCACTGGAAACTAAAAAAAGGGTCGAACATCTACAAAAATTCAGTTTATAAAAATCCTTAACGCCCTTTCGTTGGTCTTAAACCACACACACACACACACACACACACACACATATATATATATATATATATATATATATATATATATATACAGGCAAAAATCCAAGTGAATCCTAGAAATATAAAATATTAAAACAAATCCATAGAAGTGTTTTTTTTTTTTTTTTTTTTTTTTTTTCTTATCTAACTCCTTGAGTTGACAATCCTGCTCTGGGGAAATGGCCATATATCATATGGGGTATTGAATTTTATGTACGTGTAAAAACCTTATATACCTACAACTGAATAATATATATATATATATATATATATATATATATATATATATATATATATATATTATATGCACAGTACTTATTGGAAAGTCTCCAATATCAGTGATAGAGCTAATAAAAATTCAATCGTATGAATAATTTCTGACCCTGGATTTCACTCCTCTATGTGCGCGTTTTTTATATATATATATATATATATATATATATATATATATATATATATATATATATATATTACTAGCGTTATTATAGTAGATACTTCATATTTAAAAAAGACGCCACAATGTTATTAAACAATATTTATTACGTCTCTCGTCCTGCGCATTCGATTTCGTTTTGGTTAGCTACCGTTTTTGCTATAAAGAATTGCTTTACTTTGAGAAAAAATAATTTTTTTCTTTTGTTTTCTGTATATATGATATTGACCGATGTCATTATTTCTCAAAATAAAATTGTAGAAACCTCTCAATTCGTATTTAAACCAACAAATATTGGTCTGCTTATTGAGAAATACAATTTTTGCAATAACAATCAGACCCTAAGTCTTTAAAAATAACACGATTGAATATACAAAGACCAACACAAATTTAAAATTTTAATAAACTAACAAAAATAAACCTTCATGAACATAAGAACTATGGTAAAAAATTTTCTCTTTCTTGATTGTCATGTTCAATGTTATTTAAGTCCCTTTTGATATTCCAGCAGTATCAGGTACAATGGAATAGGTGCATTTAATTGCAATGGGTTTAGTTAGCGTTTCTTTCCAACTCTTAATATGATTGGTTTCCTTCCGTAGTGAAGTGATACATTTAGGAATACCAATCTGAAGATTTTAGGGTTTCATTTTTTGATGTCACCTTAATTATCAGGTTTACTAAATTGTATTACGAATAAAGTTTATCAGTTAATGTTAATTTTGTCGATAAATTGGAAAACTTCGGTACTTATAATTTAAAATTTTTGACTCAAAAACACTTTTTTTCTTGTAAAAATAGTTTATTTCAGGTGGCTGACATAAATTGCTCGGCCTACCTGAAAATTGATGGATTTTTACGAGCTTTATTAACTAAATTTTGGGATCAGCCAAGGTTGTAAATTGATCTTTTTTCCAAAAGTGAGCAATTTCAGTAAAGCAAAAATGGTAGCTAACCATGAAAAACGAAATTCATTTTCGGAATCAGCACCAATAAATTATCTAAAAAAAATGAGTTTTGTTTCTTAGCACCACAAATCAGTTTGACCAGAGTGTAATTTGACAGATTTCATTAAGATTCTTTTTTCTTCCAGTGATGGAAACAAAAGGTAAAAGAAAAATAAATAAATAAATTTCAAATTCCCAGCATCTCTCGTTCGTACGTATGTGCAGATGCACTAACATAGCAAAATTTAGTCCGATTATGTCCTAAAGGACGATACACATCACACGAAAACATTTTTCAACTTTTTACAGGTATACCTCGGGTTAAGTCGTTTCGAGTTAAGTCGTTCTCGATTATATGTCGTTTATCAAAAAAAAAATATGAAAAAAATAAAAATCAAGTTTAAGTATTCGACTTTACGTCTGTCTGCCACAAATATTGAAGTCGTAATATCAATAGAAAAGCATTAAAAGCACATAAAATCATGTTACTGTACAATAAATAAGAATAAAAGTATATAAAATCATATTAAAATATATACATTTACAGTAAATGTTAATATAATCATCATAAACCCTAGAGAATGAAATATGAAAACATTTGTGACTCTGAGTTGTCGTCTTATATAGCGGCCGTTAGGAGCTCAATATTGGCGTTTTCCACGGTAGGTGGATTGATAGGTTGAATCATCAGTGTGCTGCTATTAGTCAATAAATCATTCAAGTGAAAGCATTGTCTTTGTTTGAGGACCTGAATAAAAAATACCCAGATGAAAAAGATGTAGAGTTTAATGGGAGTCAAGGCTGGTTTATGAGATTTAAAGAACAAAGAAGTTATCACTCTATTCAGAAGCAAGGTGAAAGCGCATCAGCTGATGAACAAGCAGCAGCTGATTTTCCTAAAGAATTGGCTAAGATCATCGAATAAAACGGGTTTCTTTTTGAACAGGTTTCTAACGTTGACGAAACGGGATCATATTTGAAAAAATTACCAGAGCGTTCCTTCATTGATAATGCTAAGCGTAAGGCTATATCGCTGATAAATTATTATAGGCAGAATACTGTACGTACATATCATAAATAATGGAATACGCAATGGGGAGTGCTTATTTGCGGTTTATAGTGTCGTTTTTCGACCTAAGTCGTGATCTCTGTAAGCAGCTAACGACGTAGGCTGAGGTATACCTGCATGCAAATATAAATAGTTTTAATGTTACCATTAGTACATTAC